CATCACTAAAGATTGTCTGCTGTACATCAGCTCTAAAATACAACTTGTATAATGAAATCTGCAGACAGTAGGAGGTTTCAGTGACCCCACCCCCACTTAACTGCAGTTGACATTGTAATAAACCCTGTCCCCTCCTTGTAGTACAAGAAAGGAATTTGTCTCACTCTGTGTTTAAATAAAAGCTTTAGAAAAAATTAATTGTAGCAGAATTTGAGCAAAGAATGACTCACAAGTCGGTGGTCCTGAGAAGGGAAAGAGGTTCAGAAGGCAACACTGCAGTGTGGGCAGCAGCATTTATGGACAGAAAATGGAAGTCGGGGGCAGAGACAGCTTCCCAGGCAATGGTGCAGCCTGTGCCTACTGCTGTGGCTGACAGAGACAGAGCCCTTGTTACCGAGCCTACTCCAAGTTTGGTTGTCAGTTTGCGTACTAAGTTAGGCTGCAGCTCACTGGGTAGGGATGCAGGGTGTGGAGCCCTTAGGAGCAGGCCAACTCAGTGTGGCGGGGTGCCAAGCTGTCAGGCTTCACACTGTAGGGGGAGACTTCAAAGGCAAATGGATCTGGGCTGGAAATCTGACCCAGTTCTCAGCTGCTCTGTCACCTTTGAGTTCTCTCACATCCCCGTCCTCACCTTCCCCCATCTTCTGAAGGGTAGGATCTACCCCGTCCAGACCCAGATGACATGGTGTCCGTGGAGCTTTGGACACAGAGCTGGTCTCTCGGTGGGCCCCCGAGGGCTGCTGGTGTGGGCTTGGTGGTGGGAACAGTGGCGTCACTCCCGTCTGCCTGGGTGGGGGTATGGGTGGCCTTGCAGACAGCTGTCCTCCCCTGGGTCTGCACCGCAGGGGGCCAGCACACTTGGGCCCGTCTGGCCCTGGGTGCAGGCAGCAGCTTTTCTCCACAGGATCCGCGTTGGCTGCCACAAGCTCATCAACCACCACATCTTCACCAACCTCATCCTCGTCTTCATCATGCTGAGCAGCGCCGCCCTGGCCGCGGAGGACCCCATCCGCAGCCACTCCTTCCGGAACACTGTAAGCCTCAGAGACAGGAGAGGTGGGTGGGGCTCCCTCTGAGGCCAGCTCCGCCTCTCCCGGACAGAGGCCTCCTGGAGAAGGGGACCTGTGGGTCCTCCTGGCTAGAGCTAGGGCAGGCCTCTTGCTCATCTGGAAACCTTCGTGTTTCTAGATGGTGAGTGCCAGAGATCTTGCTTCATCTGGGCAAGGTGGAATGGAGTCATTTACTTTGCACTTCCTTTAAAATCCTCTGCAGTAACTTATAATGCATTCAGCAGTGTCGCCTCTCCTCCCTGCTCCTCGCTGCTGACATTTGGGTTACTCTTCTCCCTTCCTGTCAGAATCACAGTCTCACCTATTTTGAGATGTAGGCCTCTTGGGAGCAGAGAGCAAGGAGAAGGGAAAGTCAAGCCCAGGCATACAGCAGGCCCAGGAGCTCTGGCTTAGGGCTGTGGGGAGAGACCTCTGCCGCATGTGTAGCTAAACACGCAAAGCTGCCTGGCCCTGGGGTGAGGAGAAACGTAAGTCACAAAGATGACGGGGTCGCGGCATTGAGAGTCTGCGGAGATGAGGAACTCGAGGCTAAGAGAACAAGCGGAGGGCTGGGTTTTTCTGTTATTCATCCGTTTCCTCACTCAGGGATGATGTCCTCAGCTGCATCCGGGCCTGAAACTAACTTGTACCTAAATGAGCTACGGCTTCTGTCCTCACAGATTAGGGATTTGGGGGCCAGCGAAGTAGAGCAACAGTCTAAAGCACCTGCTTAGGTAAGCTTAGGCAGCTGTAGGGGACCACAGTTTGATCCCCAGCACATGTCCCACCCTCAGGGCGGGCTGAGCCAGACCCCCCCCCAAAAAAAAAACAAGAAAGAAAGAAAGAAAAAGATTGGAAATTTTCTTCTTTAGACATCTTTTGGACTGTCCCCATTATTCTGGTGAAATACTGACCTCTGTGTCATTGAGTTCCACCATAAAATTAAAACACATGAGGGAAAACACTTTTGGAAAAAAATCATATGGCAGACAAGGTCAGGAGCTCCACATTTCTTTTTTTATTATGCCTATGTGTTTACTTCCTTGCTCTGTTTCCCAAAATCAGAACAGTTCTTTTTAAATAGATGTACCTGTGTTATATGTATATTGCTTTTAAACCATTACAGTGTTTTATTTTAACCTTAGCTGAATTCTTAGTAAAAAAGAAAAATGGAAGGCCGAAGGAGGAAAGGACAAGTTACATCTTGCACCAGGTAGACTCGCCAGTGTTGTCCTTCCTGGCTGCTGGGTGCTCTCAACATTAGTATCCCCACCATGTCCTACAAGGGAGTAAGAAGGCGCGAGGGCTTGACAGTAAATTAGGTAATGCCCTCCTGTGCCTGGCAAGAGGATTGTTGCACAGAAGTGTTCCAGGAGATTTGATAAACCTGAAAGGAGCAGGTTAGAAGAGGAGTACCCTCTGAAGGGGCATGTCCTCTGAGGAGAGCTGGCCCCAAGCAGAGGTTCTCAAGTTATTGTGAGGGAGCTGCGGAGCGCCCCCCTGCGGTGGCTCCCATCCGTGACCTGACATGGCCTTGTGTCTCAGCCTGTGACAAGCTGAGTGGCCGGAGCAGCTGCCCCCACCCTATTCCTGATCTTGCTCTTACCTGCACAGCTTCACGGTCTTTCCGACTCCTCTGTCACTGGTTCTTTTGAAACCACAAAGTAAAGTTACCATGAAGGAGGCCAGCACCCCAGCCCTCATCTCCTGGTAAAGTGGAGGCCACCCTCTTTCTGGTTGGCGACGCTTGGTCAGCAGGTCCCTATGAGTGGCCTCAGTGGAGGGGTCAGCTTCTTGCCACGCATCCATCTGCCCTGCCTCTGATTCTTACAGGAGACAGGGGTCCAGAAGGGGAGAAAGAGGACTCTGCTGGGTAGTAGATAGTATTCTCAGGAAGGCTCACAGAGTAGCCTGGACTGAAAATTCGAGGCCAATCAGTCTGCTCCTTGAGTGAGCCCCAGCTAGGAAGAAAACTCAGTCTTGGGAAAGAAGAGTTTTAAATCCAGGGCAGTGGGTGGCAGAAGATGGTAAGTGAAGCCCCGCCTCGTGGACAGAGCCACCCGTACTCACCGAATAATCAGACTGGAATGCAGGTGACACGTGGCTACCTGATGCCACCAGTGCTGTGCCGTAAAGCTCTCCTTTCTTGCAGTGGCGGAGACTGACTGCGCGCCAGGCAAGCCCCTCCATACTTATAGTTCTCCACCAGTGTGCAGCAGCTCGGCTAGATGGCGGCACGCTCCATTCAGCCAAAAGCATGATTGAAAGTCCAAAACGTGTAGGGCTGTAGCTCATCAGGGACCACAAGACATTGGGGGATGTAGCATGCTAATGGGAAAAGGTTGTTAATTAGGCTTATCAGTCCAGAACAGGAGCCTGGCAAGCCAGGCAGCAGGAATGGCTAACAGCGCCCCGGCTTGCCAGGGCTCATAGCTGGTCAGAAAGAGGAACTGTTACGGGGCTGGGGTGGGCCCTTCTGAGCGTCTCCATCTTTCTACCAGTGCAGCGGGGCATCTCAGAAAAGGGTCTGCGGCCATGGGGGGGGGCTGTGCCCATGGGGAAACAGCTGTGCAGGCCTGTCCGATGCCTTGTTCTTATTTCCACGTGTTGTGCCTTGCAGATACTGGGGTACTTTGACTATGCTTTCACAGCCATCTTTACTGTTGAAATCCTGTTAAAGGTAATGGCTTTTCCGTTGCTCCTCGCTCCCTCGAGCAGCCGTCGCGGTAACAGTGGTCGTTCTTTGTTTGCTTGCAGATGCTAGGTTACGCAGATTATGTCTTCACGGGTACTTTTGCATTTGAGATCATTTTGAAGGTAACAGGCTCTCCGGCAGGGCCTTTAAAGACCTGCTCCTGTGTGTGAGACACAGGAAGAGGCGTGAAGTGCTTTGGGCTATTTTTTTTTTTTTTTTTTTTCTATGATTTCTATGATCAAACTAAACTTTTTTTAACCAAAGGATTTTTTCTGTGATCATTCCAACTTTTTTTTCCTGCTTCATTTTAACCTTTGAATGCATGTAGGAGCTACTTTGACTTCACTTACTAGTTGAAGATTTTTTTTTCTTCTTTTAAAAAAAATCCTCTGAAATGTGTCCACTAAGAACAGAATACTGCTCTGTGCGTGAACTTTCTTCTACCTTTTTTGACATCAAAGTCAGAGAAAAAACATTTAACCTACGAAGGCAATGTCTCCTCATTTCTCTGACTGCACTCTGCTTTTGTGGCCTGAAATAGTAATACACTGTACTATTTTCTTGCAACAAGTTTTGCAAGCTATTGTGAGTCCAACTGTGTTAAGATAGTTTCTCTGTCTTTCAATGGATGGGCTTACATTTACACTGATGGAATGAGCGACCATTGCCCTTTGACTAGGGCGACCTAAATGTACTGCCCATGCATGAGCTAGCAGTTGCCGTTGCTGCATGTGGTTTGCGTAGTGATGTGAAGGCCACACCACGGAAGCTCACGCCTACTGCCTGTACTCAGAGGTCTAGAGCCCAGCAGCAGGGAGCCGAGCACCTTTGGCCGTGGGTCCCCGTGGCCCTGGGAGAACACGGCCTGGGAAAACTGCCAGAGCAGCCATCTGCAGTGAGAAGATGCTGAGAACCAAGACCTTCTAATCACGATTCTCTTTAAGCCATTGTGAATTTTTTGTGTGTGCATCTTGGGGATGTGGGATGAATTTCATGTTGAACTACTGTGAAACTGGTACTCTTCACAACATCTTCTGTAAAGGGCTCTTTCATGTGGCCAGAGCGTGGCCTCTTTTTGTGGTTGTTAAGCAAAATAAGCTCAAAACCAACCAGTCATCTGATTAAGTCTTTGTTTCACATCTAATAAAAGTTTAAATTCCTCTTCCTGCCTTTAATCTGGCACATTGGGTTGAGAGTCCTTGCCTTGGCGGGAGCTGTGCGGGGGGTTGGGGGCTGTAGATTGACAAGGGCCCACGGGAAGGCTGCGGTGCAGAACACCTGTCTCTCGGTAGCCTCTGCTCCTGCCTCGAGTTCTTGATTTTTATGACTTGCTTTCTCCTCAGATGGAGTAGCAAATGTTCCACTCAGCCTGTTTGCCTCGTTAATTGAGGTATTATTTTACTTTCCACCATTAAAGTTGTTAAATAAGTGTAGTTCCTCTCCGGCATTAGGGGAAATGAGGGTTGTGAGTTATATAAAGGAGAGAAACATGATCGTTGCTTTTTAATTTCTGTAGATCTGCCTCAGTGACTTAAATCTTCTAAATCATTGCTCATTTTGAAGGTATTTTAGAGTGAAAAATAAGCTGAAATAAGAAAAATTCATTAAGTTGAGATTCATCAAGAATTACCTACCATCTGTTCTCTGGCTCCTGGATCCCTTAGAAGATTTGGAAGGCGATTTATTTGGTTAAACTCTGTACAGTTGCCATTTCTCTAGGTCAGAAGGGTTGAACATTGGCAGTTTCATCTGACCGGAGGCAGTATTTCCCAGCTGTGCCTCTGTTCACCTGTACCTGCTGAGCCTTCATCTCATCTTTAAAAAAAAAAAAGAAAAGTAAATTCTATATATTTTCCTGTTTTCACTCTGAGGAAAACTTTCTTACTAAACTTTTTCTAACACCACTTTCTTGCTTCTTAGATCGTATACTAGAGCAAGGAAGCATGGCATGGGCTGGCCGGACAGCTCAGCGGATTAAAGTGCCTGCATAGGCAGACACAGGGGCCAGGGGTTTGATCCCAAGTGGCCATGCAGCCTACCCCCAGGGTACATTGGGATGTGGTGGTGCGCACCTGTAATCCCAGCACTTGGCAGGCTGAAAAAACGGGAGAATCACTACAAGTCCAATCTGAGTAGTGAGACCCTGTAGACCCTGTACTAAATACATTAATAATAATAAAAGAAAGCAAGGCAGAACCATTTGAGATGTGTGGATCTTTACATTAGTACATATTAGTGATGCAGATAAATGAGATTTACTTTAATAAGTTGGTACCTGTATATAACACATACGGATTATATTCAACCCCATTACATGTCATCTGCTTCCATTCCTTCCTCCTTTATCTCCTTCCCCATCTCTCAACATCTACTGTCATTGCTTGCAATGGGTGGATTGTGAAAATCAGCTGAAGTCAGTTGCAGAGAGTGGTGATAAGGGCCTTGTGTGGCGCGGGCTCTCCCCTGTGCGTAGAGCCTGGGAGAGGTGGACACCAGCGCTCTTTCTCGCTTCTGCTCACGAGGCCTGGTGGGAACTCTGGCCTCCGCTCATTGTGGGCAGTTCAGGCGTCTGGGCCGTGGTACATTCTGGCAAGCATAGTCACAGTGAGTCTCTTCTGGGACAGCTGTGTTACACATGCCAGCGTTGTATTTGTATTTGAAACCCAGCCTCGTGATAATGATGTCTAAATTGGTCCCTTTAAAGTTGTGTCTGAAATCAGCTACCCTTTTATCTTTTTGTTTGAATAAGTTACTTGGTGGCTCAGCGCTGGTCGGGGCTTACATTTCTGACTTCCCGACAGAACTTGCTCATGAAGCCATAGTTTCCTTGAGATTTTGTGAAGAGCCCAGGTTTCTTTGCCTCTGTGGAGAAGCAGCAGTAGATAACCCATGACTCTGTTCATAGATGACGACTTTTGGAGCTTTCCTGCACAAGGGGGCTTTCTGCAGGAACTACTTCAATTTGCTGGACATGCTGGTTGTTGGTGTGTCTCTGGTGTCATTTGGAATTCAGTAAGTATTCGTGTGTGTGTGTGTGTGTGTGTGTGTGTGTGTGTGTGTCTGGGACTATTGGCAGGATGATTTATGTAAGGAATTTTGTCATAATTAATAAAAAATATGCATTGTTGCAATGATTGTATTGACTTAGCCGAGATTGCTTAATTTGCCCCTAGGCCAAAGGCCCCAGCTCTTCCAGGGGCCGGTTCCAACCTGAGGACATCCTCCTTCAGTTTCTCAGTGTGCCCTGCATGCAGGGAGGGCTGGGGCCTAGTGGCCTCTCCAGTGGCGTGCTCCCTAGTTTTCCTGCCAGCCCGTGGGCACCTCTGTTCTGGTGTTCACTGTGACCAGTCCCGTGTGGTAGCCAGGGAGGACGAAGAAGCCCTTTCTGGAACTGCTCTCTGTGTCGTCTTCCTTCGCTCCCACCGTTGCCTGAGGGGAGGAAGCCCCGAAGCTTGGGAAGATGCTCGTGTCAGCACCTTCACCACTCAGGCTGGGCTGTGCCTGCCCTCTCCGGCTGGAGCTTGCCTACCCGGGTGCCTGGAGTGCTGCACATGAGCAGCTTTCTCTCACTGGTCCCTCAGCTTGGAGCCCCTCTGTTGGGCAAATCCTGTTCCTCCCCTGAGATTCACCTGCCTGTCGCCTCCCTAGGGGCCTTAGGGCTGCCCTAAGGTTGTGCTCAGCGGTTGAGCACATGGCATTTGTCCCATGGTCATAGCACCACCTGGCATTGGGATTGCCTGTCTCTCCTACCAGACCTAACTCCTTATGCAGGAGAAGCCCCACCCACAAAGTACTGCGCAGGTCTCCAGAGTGAGACAAAAGCAAATCTGAAAACCATCCACTGCCTAGTGTTAAGAGGATATGATCATAAGATAGGGTGAATGTTTATTTTTTAAATGTATTATAATCTCACTGCCATTAATCCCCCTCGCAGTGCTCCCCTCTCTTTGAATACACTTGACCCATCATTTTTGCCACTTTCTGAGGCAGTTCTGAGAGTTCTCTCTTGTGAGTGTCTTCAGCTGCGCTCTGACAGCTGCTTCGGCACTCTGAATCAAAAGAACACTCCCCTTCCATGGTCACTTTGACTTGGGGGAGCAGCCAGAAGCCACACGATGGCAGGCCCAGGGAACAAGGTGTGGATGTGGACACCCCAGCACGTTTCCACAGCCTGCCTTTTTGTCAGATGGCAGTTGGTGGCAGCAGTCACCAAATCTTCATCACACTTTGTGAAGACACCCAAGAGGACTTCACAACTGCTTCAAAAAGTGGCAAGAAAAAGTGGGTTTGGTGTGAGGAGGCTGAGGCTGAGGGAGATCAACAAGCATGTTGCTAAATTTTGGGATAATAAAATTTGAAAATTCAAACTTCATGATAGATTTTGATCACTCCTTGCACACCGAGTGTAAAGAATGAAGCATGCTTGCAAGCTGCCTCTCGCCAGAGTCCGCTGTGAGCCTGAGGCGGGGCTCCGTGAGTGCCGCAGGCTTGGTCAGGAGGCCCAGTACGGCGTACGCTTGAGCCCTTGGGAGATCAACCGCGCTGCACGTGGAGCCCAAGCAGACTGTGCTGTTGTAGTGACGAGGTGACAGTCAAGTGGAGTAACTAATCTCCAGGGCTTCTATCCGCAGTATACTTAGTTTGCTTTCTTCTCTCTGCTGTTCCTCAGATCCAGTGCCATCTCTGTTGTGAAGATCCTGAGGGTCCTGAGGGTCCTGAGGCCCCTTAGAGCCATCAACAGAGCCAAAGGACTTAAGGTATCAGTTGATTTCCTTCCAGTGGGGCCGGTTTGGGCTGGGCTTGGCTGTCATTACTGACTCTTGTGGAACCGAGCTGAGAGGAGGCCTGGGGCATGTCACAGAGGGACATTTCTCAGTGATAATTCCCTCTCTACCATGTACTGGTGACATTTAAAAAATTGTTTTGTTTTTGTTAATCTGAGGTGTTTTTCTCAATGATTACCATTCATTTAATTTTTTTTGTCATCCGTAGCATCTGTATGTATTTCAGTCTTTAAATTTATCCTCACATGGATTATACAAAAAAAGGTCTGCATTTTCCTTAGCCCTTGATGGGATGGGGAACCCTCTGGCCCTGTGTGCCGGGCAGTGCTTGTACTCCGTGGCTCTTCCTTTCAACCCTACGGATCCTTTGGGGCCCACGTTCGCTGCTCCTCGCGGTGGCCGTGGTTGCTGGGTGGCGCCTCCCTACAGACAAGCTGGAAAGCAAAGCGCAGAGGGCTGCACAGTTGGAGACTTATACTGCTAATGCCCCAAACCTCGAAGCCCTGGGTGGGTGAGTTCGCTTAGTGGCAGAATAACAAAGGAAAGTGACACCCTTCCTCCCGTCTCCCCCTTTCCTCTCCCCAGCACGTTGTCCAGTGCGTCTTTGTGGCCATCCGGACAATCGGCAACATCATGATCGTCACCACCCTCCTCCAGTTCATGTTCGCCTGCATTGGGGTGCAGTTGTTCAAGGTAGCACGCTGGCCGGTGTGCCCGAGGCCGGGCTGACTGCCTTAAGGAGGGGCCTGCACTTGATTGTCTGTCTGTTTTATACCCAGGGGAAGTTCTATCGCTGCACCGATGAAGCCAAAAGTAACCCTGAAGAGTGCAGGTCAGTGTCTGGAGAATGGCGGGCGGCGGGGGGTTGACTTAGAATCCTCCTCCTCCTCCTCCTCCTCCTCCTCCTCCTCCTCTCTCCCCCCTCATATCCCTCAAGGATTCCCTCATATCCCTCAAGGATTCCCTCATGCCAGTATTTTAGAACTTTCTGTCATGGAGTAAAATATGCTTATCTTCTCAGGTCATAGCTGATTGTATGTTGTTTGGTATTTGTTTTGTTTGCTTCTTTTTTGGTACTGGGAATCGAACTCATGACCTAGGGCTTGCCAGGTAGGCACTGTGCCTCTGAGCTATATCCCCGGCCCTTGCTTTATTTATTTATTTTTTAATTGAGGTAAAATCCACCTAACATAAAACCAATGGTTGTAAGGGTACAACTCAGGAGCATTTAGTGTAGTGACATCATTGTGCAGCCATCACTTCTAGATTCGGAATTTTTCTTCATCCCAGAAGAACAGATCAGTGGCTTTTGCTACTTGGTGTAGAATTTATAAGCAGGGACATTTTAAATAGCAGTTATGAAGTGCAGCAAGTTGTTCTCCTTGCGTGTGACTGTATCTCTCTAATCCAGTCTTTTTTTTTTTAATTTTATTTATGTGTGTGTGTGTGGCCAGCTCAGCCCACCAGGGGGCGAGGCTGGCTGGCATGTGGTGCTGGGGGATTGAACCGCGGTCCCTGTGCTTTGCTAAGCTTGTTCTAAGTAGGTGCTTTAGACCACTGAGCCATCTCACCAGCCCCATCTAATCCAGTCTTGCAGCTCGGCTCTCTGGTCTGCAGGATATAGCTGGCTAGCCCTTCCTGGTAGATTTTCCAAGTCTCCTGTCTCCTTGCCCCTGTCTCTTATGTTTGAACCATACTTTCATTCATAAGAATGGGCAGAGGTGAAATAAGGCAGGAAAGGTTCATGCCTGTGTTCCAGGATGCCCAGTGATTTAAGAAGGCAGGCGCAGAGCCCACCGCCCAGGGCTTAGGACTGCAGAAGTTGTAGGTCCCTAACCTGGGCCTGGTGCCCGCATCACTTACAGTCAGTTGGAATTTCCTATAGGTATAAAATGTGACACGGAGTAGCACTTGTGATTTGACAGTGACTTTGTAGGTCCATGGGCACCACTGAGGCAGGATGCGGAACACAGAATGCCTCCTCAAGCAGAGCGTGGGTGCTGCCCCTTCCTTCTCAGTGCCTCTGCTTCCTTGCTTGTACAATAACGGTCCTGGGGTCCTTCCTGAAGTGAAGCTCATGGAGAAATGGTACATGTCAGGAAGCTTGGAATTTTTTTGAGGGGGAAGAAACCTGGGAATTCCATTAGTATGAAGACAAAGGTGATGAATTAGATTAGACCTGCTGGGCTTACTTCCCAGAGCTTTTAGATTTTCTGTGCCAAGGCTTTGATGCTTCAGCGTAGACTCTGAACCTATTTTATGTGCGACACATTTACTGTCTTGTGGCTTTTGTTTGTTAACAGACGCGTGCTGGTTGTCGGCCTGGCGGCTCCAGGGGAAACACGGTGCCCTAGCAGTTACTCTGTGGTAGCTTGCACTCTAGATTCAGTGCGAGGAGGGCAAAGGAGAGCGCACCTGCTCAGTGTGGGGCTCTGTGGGGGCCAGGTGTGCCACCTGCTGGAGGTGGGGCTGCGGCTCTGTGGCTGACGTAGCACTCTTTCTCCCTCCTGCATGTGAAGCCAGAGTGACACGCACTGATTTTCCTCTACAGGGGGCTTTTCATCCTCTACAAGGACGGGGATGTCGACAGCCCCGTGGTCCGTGAAAGGATCTGGCAAAACAGTGATTTCAACTTTGACAATGTGCTTTCTGCTATGATGGCGCTCTTCACGGTCTCCACTTTTGAGGGCTGGCCTGCGTGAGTATAGAGGATACGGCCTTCCTGAGAGGCTGCCCCTTGCTCCCCGGGGGCCCTGGGTGGAGTCCACACTCCAGGAGTGTGTCCTGCTCCCGTCTCAGATGCGTCCTGTGACTCTAACTAGGGACACTTATCACAACTTCTTGGCCCCTAGGGGGCCTCTGACTAGTACTTGGTTCCCTTCTGCACTCTGCAAACAGGAGCCTCAAATTGGAAGCAAGACAGTGTAAGCCCTGGCAGCATCTCTGGGTGAGACTAAGGCATCTGCGGGGTGCGATCCGAGTGGGTTGGTAGCCATTTCAGTAAAGCTGCTGATTCTGCTCCTACAGGAGGTCTTGACTGTGTCGCCAAATGTCCATCCGTTCCGATTCTTTGTACTAATACGCTACCAAGTCTGGTCAGTGACCGTCATGCCATTCCTCAGGAAGGAACCCCCTCACTTATTTGTGAAGTGCGTTTTTGATGTCAGCTCCACATACCACGCTGTGCTGAGCACTGGGGAAGAAACAGTAATACTCACCTGGTTCCTCCCTTCAAAGCCCAAGTCTAGTAAGGGTGCAGGAGGTCAGATAAGGCAGAGCCATAGGAGGGCCTAGATGTGCGGAAGAGGTCCTGAAGGATGGCCGGGATTTGGGTGGGGAAAGAAGGCAGAATGCAAAGCAAGTCTCATGTGGCTTTTCTGCCCTCTCTCTGCTGTCCCACACCCAGAGGAGCAGCAGAAGCAGGCGGCTGGTCCTTGCAAACTGGCAGAGCTCTTGGCTTGCCTGTTCAAGTCATATATTTTCAGAAGCTTCTGTGAGGTGCAGGGAAAATTAAGTGGGGCTTGCTTGTTAGGAAATTCATCCCGGCAAAAAAGTTTTGGGATAAGGCCTTCTCTGGGCAGGGGCGCTAGCCACAGTGCTGGCTTTAGACCCTATGCTTTAGGAACTCAGGGAGGCAGCTGAGAAAGAGTGAGCCAACGTGGTACTTGGGGCTAAAGGAACTGAACTCATCTTCTAACTCTCTCCTGACAAGTGTGGCCTGAGAGCTGATCCCTCTCTGAGCCCCAAGGATCAGAGGGCCCCACTGCATGAGAGTAGGGGCAGCTGTAGTCATTGCCTTGTTCCTGTTGAGTTCTGCTCGACACACATTTACTTTTAGTGCTTATTTCAGTTTAAGAAACTTTCCGTAGTCCTTTGGAAATACTCTGGTAGGGTGCTAGTGGGCTGCTAGCGTGGATAGAGGTTCTGCTTCATCTAATACGTTATGTGCAGTGTTCTTCTCTCTTCCCTCTGTGACGAGAAAGAATTACTGGCCACTTGGGGATTCTATTGCTTTGCGGTCCCCACAGCAATCCCTCGTGTATTATATCTTTGCTGATGCCTCCTCCACCATGTGCCAGCCTGCTGGGTCTGAGGGGACAGAGGACACCTCAGAGACCTGACTTTGTCCTGAGAAGGACCCTGGGGACATCTGAGAGGGCAGGAGGCTGGACCGCATGGGCAAGCAGGTCCTCACTTGTTTTATTCTGCTCTCCAGGTTGCTATATAAAGCCATCGACTCGAACGGAGAGAACATCGGCCCCGTCTACAACTACCGCGTGGAGATCTCCATCTTCTTTATCATCTACATCATCATTGTTGCTTTCTTTATGATGAACATCTTCGTGGGCTTTGTCATCGTTACGTTTCAGGAGCAGGGGGAGAAAGAGTATAAGAACTGTGAGCTGGACAAAAATCAGGTTAAAATCACACATTGTTTGTGCTTCTGTCCCTTCAGGAAGAGTGGAGCATATCCTCTTCCGAGTGTTTCCCCACACTCAGGGAGGGCAGCCCCTGAGCTCAGCCCAGTCCAGAGCATCCTCTCACCTGGGTCTGGTCCCCCTTCAGGAGCAACACCCTAGAAAATTAGGTCCCCAGAAACAGAAAAGACTGTGATTGTGAAATCCATCCTCAGAGCCATTAGTAGAAATCACTGCTTGCTGTGGCCATGAGCCACTAGTTACAGGTCAGAGCTAATCTGGTGGGATTATGTCGCCTGGAGTGTGAAACACCCTTCAGATTTCCCAAGTCCCTTCCAAGAGACTATTCAGTATTTACTTAGAGCAGATGTTTCTCACCTCGATACGGGTCATTCTTTTAACCTGTGCTTCCTGGGCACTCCAGGATGGTCAGCATCCCTGGCCATTGCTACCCACTAGAGGCCAGTAGTATCCCTTTCCTCCAGTGAGAACCAGAATTATTCCGCACTGGCGGTTGTCCTCTGGAGAAGCTGAATTACCCCTGGCCTAGAGCTGCTGGCTTGGGGAGAGCCTTCTAACACCACGGGGAAGGTCGGACACTTTACCTTTGGGACTAAGGTTCTGGCAGCATTAGTCACTCTTTAGTGCCTTGTCTTAGGCAGTCTGGCAGAAGTGGGGGCCTTTGGCTGTGTTTATGTGGTAACACAGGGAAGCCAAGAGCCCCATGCTGTGCCTCTGCTGCGCCTGTAACTTGCTCGGTGACACTAGGGGCGTGCCTGCCCTTCCCAGGGCTTGCTTCCTCATCTCCAAATGGAGAGCATGACGGAGCTGGATCCCACAAATGGCTGTGAGATCAGGAGTCTGTTCTAGGAGTTTAGTTTCCCCAGTCCTACAGCTGCCACATTTCTGCTTAGTGATGGCAGAGTAAACAAGGTGACTCGGCAGCCTGGGCCTCCTGAGGTAAAGTAGCAGTGCCCTGATGAAGCATTCCATTCCAGGCTTGGCTACACTCACTGCAGGGAATGTCAGGCTGTGCTGGTTTAGCTTGCAGGAGGACTTTCCTTTGAGTTGCCAGGGGTCCTTGCAGGACTTCCCCCCGCCAGTGACAGAGGAAGCCTGGACCAGCTCTCTGTCTATTGTAGGCCAGCCAGGAAGGGTTGGGGCCATAAGAAGGTCAGCAGTGAGGTCCCAGAGAGGCTCAAATCCAGGGGCGGGAAACGTTGGCGTCGGCATGTGAGGTCAGAGCAGCACCAAGTCCTGGACGCAGGAAGCCTGTCTGAAGCCCACACCCAGAGTCAGAGCATTAGAGCAGGGGCAGGGCTAGGTCTTCAGGGTGAGCTGAGGGCATCTGGGGTTGGAGGCTCCCTCTAGCTGGCTGCAGAGGACAGACCAGGGTCTGTCCCTCAATTGAGTATCAGGGCAGTGCTCTTCCGAGACCCAGCCTTAGTTCTACCTGGCAGTGCCATCAACACATCCCAGCTCCCAAGAGGCATCTCTTGTGAGTCTGAGCTGCCAAGGGCTGCCAGTCGTGAAGGGAGCAACCCCCCTCCCCCTGCTTCTTAGAGATTATATATCTGGAATGTACAGCCCCCCCCCCCCCCCCCCCCCGCGCCCCGCATAGCTTTAAATTAAGACACAATTTGATGAGCACAGAAAAGGTGACTTCAGCCCCCCCCCCCCAGACCTGTGTCCCGGCAGAGAGCAAAGGCAGTGACAAGGCCAAGGCCCAGTCTTTCCTCTGCTCCTGTGTATCTTGCGGGACCTTGGCGAAAACAGCAAAGGCTCTGAGCTTCTGTGTTACAGTGAGCACGTGGGGTGCTCTGCTCCCCCTTGGGCTGGCTGTGAGTAGTGGGACAGCCATGGAGGCTGGCCGTCCAGTGACTCCATGGTGCCTCGCAGGCTGGGTGTCGTCTTCACCGTTGTCCCTGGTCCCTTCCCAGAGGGCTGGAGTGAGGTCTCAGAGAGCAGCTGACACTGTGTGCTCATTTCCTAGCGGTGCTCGAACCCAGCGTTTGCCTTTCCTCCCTGTGCAGCGCCAGTGTGTTGAATACGCCTTGAAAGCGCGTCCCTTGCGGAGATACATCCCCAAAAGCCCCTACCAGTACAAGTTCTGGTACGTGGTGAACTCTTCGCCTTTCGAATACATGATGTTTGTCCTCATCATGCTCAACACTCTCTGCTTGGCCATGCAGGTAAAAATGGAGACAGCCGTGGGGACCAAGTGTGGGCACCCTGCACAGCCCCGCACGCCAGATTCTGAGGGTAGAGTGCTGCCCCCTCACGAGAGGATGGCTTTGATTTTCTGACATTGTCATGTGGCAGAGTCCTGTTGTGGCTGACTGTGGTCGCGGTAGACGTTGAAGGTCACTCCTTTAGTTGAGGCTGTCCATACAGTGTGAAGGCAGGCAATAGTTCCACCAAGCCCACGTGTGGTACTCGGCACCATGGGGGCGGGCCTTCTGTGGCCAGAGAGCCAGTGAGAACCAAAGCTGTGGAGTTGAGCAGGCAGGCACTTCCATCCTGGTTTTACTCCTTACCAGCACGGTGGCCTTGGAGACTTAGTTAAATCCCCTGAACCATATTTTCTCTTTTGGTAAAATGGGGCAATCTGTTGCACTTAGCTCAGAGATGAGATCTCTGCTGCCCTGCTGGTGTCAGGCACCCTGATCTGGGCCCGCCACATGGTGACCTGAGTCACCTTGCTGTCTTCAAGGGGCTCCCAGGACGGGAGGGGTGTTCTAGTTGGTGAAATATTGGGTTTGGCCTCAGGCACTCTGTTTATTTCTTGGTGACGTCAGAGGCAAGTAATGCAACTCCCTTGATCTAGCTAAGACACAATACAGCATGGTGTCCGCAGGCCGTATTTTCAGAAGTTACGTTCACTACTAGATATCGAGTTGGAGTAGGAAACAAAGACAAACATCTAGATAGATACAATTTTGCCCAAAGTTTAAGAACTCTCAGTGTGGTCTGGAAAATGGGCCTAAGGACAGTCAAGGACTGTACATGGCACTTTTCTTAATTTAAGAATTCTTTATGAGTGAAAAGAGCCACACGATGTATGGAAAAGTTTAAAGTAGAGGTAATACTGTCTTTCATTACACATAGCCCTCAATGGCGTAGAATTTACCCCTAACCAAGTTCCACCTTCATTCATAGACATTTTGGTGGTATCCGTATTGTGCCTTAGTCGAGGCCCTATAAGCTCTGCTGGAAGAAGGGATGAATCCCCCTTATCCTGTGCTGGGAAAGAAGATATGTCCCCCCCCCCCCATCATTCAGTCATCCTCATCTTGTCATGGACCCCTGTGCTTTGTGGGAGTTCATCATGTGATGCAGTACCAGTCGAAGCATGGGCAGATGGTGCTGCCAGGCCACATAGGGTGCCCATCAGGGCACAAGGGGCTGGGAGCCACCATTTGTGAGGCTGGGAGACTGTGGCCAAGTCTCTTGAGAACTGTGTCTCTGTCTTCATCCATAGCACTATGAGCAGTCCAAGATGTTCAATGACGCCATGGACATTCTGAACATGGTCTTCACTGGGGTGTTCACCGTTGAAATGGTTTTGAAAGTCATTGCGTTTAAGCCTAAGGTAAGTTGCCAGATCCACTTTGCAAAAGCTACTGCTGAATCACTCCAGAGAATCACCCACTTCCTGTCTACCCTGTGCTACTGAATTATGCTCAATTGTTCAGGCTGCTAACTGGGTTACTACCCGATAACATAGAAATCTGATTAGGGCACTTGTGTGCATAGAGGAAAATAAATCTACCAAAACAAAAGCTCATGAAAACAATTCTGAGAAAAAAAGAGGCGAGAAGTGGGAATTTATAGGCTGCAGATTGTTTTGAAACCTGATTTTGTTTCTAGAATAGCGTGTATTGTGTCATTTCAGGAAGACCTGCCTCGTTATCTGAGCACTGGAGAAAATGTTCTGACAACTGTCAGGAGTATGACCCTGATTTTCCTTTCAGATTTCTAGCCTGGAGACTTTGGTTTTTGTTTGTTCCTGGTCTTACAGCATCTTTTTCACCCTCTATGGAAAGATCTAATACCAATTGAAGTCCTCTCACAGTCATAGAATTTGTTTGTTTGACTTAGAAAATTTTCACTTGAATTTAAGAAATTGAGATATAAAATATGTTATTTTGAGGACTTGGCATAATTTATCTCCTTTGGGAAAGAGTGAATCAAGCCCCATGCTGTCCAAGTCTGCAGTAGAATAGGCAGTGTAGTTCAGCGTTGAGTGTCATTCTAGACTGGATCTTCATCCCAGTACTCACTAGCTCAAGAAAGTCACTTCGCTGCCCTGGGCCTCAGTTTCCTCATCAGTAGTGTGAGGCTACTGATAGTCCTATTTCCTGGAGCTGCTGTGAAGAGTGAAAAATGACTACACTGTAGTGAGCGCTTAAAAGAGTGCCCGGATGTGGAGCCAGGCTGTGGGCTGTCAGCTGCTGGCACTGTTCCGCTCTCACTGCCATCACCGTCAAGCTACGGCGTCCTTTCGTTCTAGAACCTGAGACCGACATGCCAAGCCCACCTGACCTGTGGGGTACTCGAGCCTCATCTCGTTCCCAGCACAGGCACAAGCCTTCAGAGTACGAGGCTGACAGAGCCCCTGGCCCCAGAAATGTGTTATCTACACGCAAGGGGTCAAGCAGCACTCATGGGAGGACAGCATAGAGTAAGAAATCAGTAGTTTCATGTACTCCAGAGTTTCATGAAGTTCTAATTCTAGACTGTTCCTTTCTTTAATTTGAATTGATTTCTATGCAATCTTTATCAGATCTTTGTGGACCAAAAAGAAAGGACATTTGTAAGTGATTAATGGGGGTGATTGCAGTGGGGGTCCAATTTGGCACCTTGTGCATGGCCAAATGTTACCTCCTGTGACTTGTCCATATCTGCAAACATAAGCATTCTGTCTGTCTCCAAGCTCATCTTAATTTCCTCTCAGACTTCGGTTTGTTTCCCTCTTACCTTTACTCCTCTGAACAATATTTGTCTAAGCTGATGGAAAAGGTTGCAGAGTAAGAACATGAAAAGCGCTTGAACAGGGCACGTAGAACACACCTATGGGCCATTGCCTGGGTTCCATGTGCCATGGCTTCCTTGCCTGGTGATCAAGCTCTGCAATGTTTGAAAGTTTGTTCCAGGCTGAGAAGAAAGCACACACACAATGTGTGAGTGTGTGAGAACATGCCTTCATGTGTATGTGGGGGTGCATGAGCCTGACTGGTGTGAACTTGGTGTTCATATGCATTGGGGTGTGCATATGTGTGTGTGTGTGTGTGTGTGTGTGTGTGTGTGTGTGCAGCCTCTAACAGGCCAGTGCACTGATATCTTAGAGCACACTGCTCAGCCCAGTAAATCTCCAAGCCTGGGAGGAGAGTTTGGTGGCGTGTGAACAGATGGGTGATACCAAAGGGAAATGAGTAGCTGATTTATAATCAGTACCAAGAGATCAGAGTTTTTAAATGCGTGGTTTCCGCCAGAAATTGTGATGCTCGCCTTTGCTAGCAAGATATTTTCATAGCATAAGATAGCCTTAATTTTAATTAAGAGAACTTTTGAAATGAAAGTTCTATACCTCTGCACTGGAAAAACACTGTCCATGTGTTCACCAAAGCCAGGGAAAAGAGGGTTTATGTTATTATGTTCCCAGGTTTGCAAAATGGAGTGAATTTGCCCAGAATCAAAGTTCTTCTTGAAATCTTTCCAGACCTCTTTTTCGTTCTTCATTTGGGTATTCATAAGCCTTGCCCAGGCAGGGATGGTCTTCCACAGAGAAGCCCCCGGGACCCCTTCTGTCATAGTCAAGTGGGCTGATCAGGCTGAGGAGAGATGTTGTCAAGCACACTGAGGGACTGGTGTGCCAAGATGGCCATGTGGACATCAGACTCGTCTCGGGAGTCTGGATCTCTTTTGAGGTGTTGTAGCAGGACACCTGGATGCTGTGTGGGTACACCTTCTAGGAAGACTGGATATCTCTGTTAAGAGAGGAGGGTGTTGTAGTTGTATAAAACAAAGGTACAGAATGATGTTAGACAGAGTCCGTACTAGTAGGTGGAAAAGCATTTCAGAAAGCAGGTGTTTTAAAAACTTTGGAGATTCTTGCACATGGGGACTTTTGTGTATAGGGGAATGAATCTGCTTCCGAAACGAGGTCTCATAACAGAGAGCATATTTAGATGGAAATGGTGCAAGGCATGCGGGAGGAGGCTTCCCAGTGCCTCCAAGCAGGAGGCTGGGGAGAGGCCAGCGTTGGGTGCTTCCACCGTGGGCAGGCAGTCTCTCTTCATGGGAAGGGTGGGCGTTGGTCAGGTGAGAATAGAAGGTGATGAGAAAGCAGGCAGCCTCTGTAGCTCATCAGGTTGAATACTGAAGAGAAAATCTTCCAGTCAGGTGTTGACCTGGGTACTCTGCATCTCACTTCAACTTGGAGTTCAAGAGGTGCTCCAGGGTGCAGTCGGTTAGAATGTGGTATTTCTATAGGATTTTGAAAGGTAGGCTCTAACTCACAATTTAGGAAAAATGACAAGCCTTGTCCCCCTGGCCTTTGCCTCCAGTGCTCCCAACAGAAGCTACTGGAATTGTTCAGTGAGTTTTCATGCACAAGGAGGGCAACTCAGGGAGAGAAATCTTTTGTAAAGTATCAGTGGTTCCTTAGTAAAGACCCGTGAGCTGAAGGCAGGAGTGAACAGACAAGCCTGTAGCTGCAGCTTAGCATCTGACGGGCAGGATATGAGGGGAGAGCAGAATTGCTGAGCCGGATACATTTTCCTAAATCCCCCTCCTCACCTTGAGAAAAGTTCGCCCTAGTTAGAGAGCTGTCAGCTAACAGTTTGACCTGAAGTTGGCACTGTCGATCGTCCCTGGGATGCAGGATTGGGCACACAGTCCCTGCTCACGATGGGTACGTGATCTGGTTGCTAAGGTACGTGACAAAAGGCAGGTTGTTTGTGTAAGTTTCTTCAGACCTGCAGATGACAGTGAATCCAGGCAGAAAAAAAGAATCTGCACTTGGGCTATTTGTCTTGTTTTTCCACTTGTGTCCACGGGCTGCACGTTGCCCCTTGCCTTGTGCCAAGTCTAAGCAGAGGGACAGTGAAAGTGCAGGCTCTGCCCTCCAGGGGTCTGCTGCTGGGCAGGACACACATGAGTGGTCAGTCAGAGTAGGGCCCTTAGAAGAACGGAATTGCTGGCTAGAGGCCCTATTGATCTGGTTTATAATTTTAAAATGTCCAGAGTAAAAAATGTTTCTGCATAACCAGTATTATTGCATGTGACTGACTTATTTGGTCTTTTCAGTATGTGGAGGTACAGAGCAGGAAAGTAGATAGGCTTGATTGCTAATGCCACCTGAAGACCCCAGTCTCGGAGGGCAGTTGGAGGAGAGCACCCTGTCTTCAGCCGCGAGGAGAGGCTGGAGTGTGCTCCGAGCGCGTGTCTTATCTTGTGGTTAGCCAGCCACCATGTATTGTGCTGGTGGTGAGGAAGTGTGGGTACTGAGTCATGCTCACTTGACAGCGGCTTCATTAAATAGGAGGCTGCTAAACGGGGAAGCAGGGCGTGGGAGGGAGGGGAGGGCTGGCGTGTTCTGCCTCCCCTCGGCTCCTGTCAGAGCCACCTGGTCAAAGCCTTTGATTCCAGCCACCTGCACCAAGTCCAGCTTCCTGTCACCTACAGGAGAGGTGACAACTGTTGGCCCATGAACTGTTAGTGTTTTGGCACTGTTTCGTGAGTGTGAGCAATTTCTGAGAGGGAAGGGGAGAGGAAGAGAAGAGAGGGGGACACAGACAAACAGACGTAATGAGGTTTCCAGAAATTTCTAGAACCCAAAAGGTGCATTCTGCCTCTGTAAGGTTGATTTGGAAGGAATTTGCCCATCAGAGTGTCCCAGAATTGTCTCAGTGGAGAAGAGCTTACTGACCGACGGCTCATTCAGAGCATGGGTATTAGGAGTAAAATCCCAGGACGCATGCAGGGCTGAGTCCTAGTGAATCCTCTAGTGATGGGAGAGACAGCGACACAAAGCATATGGTGCGGGCCCGGCTGCATTAGAGAAGTCGAGCCTTTACTGCTCGCTGAGTGCCTGGAGACTGAGGGGCCAGTCCTGACGAAGAACTGGCTCGCGGCATAAACCCTCCTTCTAGGAGAGCGGAGGGTCGCCATGTTCTCTTCGGCTTCTGCATTGCTCCTAGGTCTTCAAAGATAGGGGCAGATTCTGTGGCACTGCTGCCTGTCAGAACTCCTGTCACCCATTTGCTGTGAAATTAGTGATTTTAGAGGACAAACAGACTTGCAGCCAGGGACATCAGCCACAACACTGAAGGCCCAGCGTGAAGCAGCCAACCTTCTTACTGGGGGAAGGAGCCGGGGTGCTCCTCTACATCCTGGTGCCAGCTCTTTGTCTGACCTTGATCCATGTCACATGTCATGAGTCCAGACTACAGAGAGGCCCATCTCCCCTCCCTTTTGCCCACCAAGAATCAGGGGTTTCTGAGGGAACATGCTAAGACCTTCTTCCGCCTTGTAAGTTATCAATTTTTACATCTCCTTGTTAGACTTTCATACACAGATCATCAGATTCGGGGTGCGCTGATGCCTTTTGTCATCGCCTAAGGCTGCCGAGAGAGGTTTGGGAGGGCAGCCGTCAGTGAGAAGCCGGTGTGAGAGAGGTGCAATGACCATCGGGTCAGAGAGGCTGAGTGGTCAGGGGCCATATGGGGTGTGGAGATGCTCATGTTACTTAGCAAGAAATTAAAACAACAAAGGGCCAGAGTATAGTAACGTCCCCATGAGTAGGGGAAAATGACCCACAGCAAGTAGAATGAACATCCCTGATCCAGTTATGAAGACAGTCAACACATGCACATTTTCTCTGGTATCGCAGAGGCTGCGGCTCTGTGGCTGCTTCCTCTGGGCCTGCATTTGATCACTGGTTCCCAGGGGTTGACACTTCAAAGCACCTCCTGTTCTGGTTTTCTTAGTATTACACTAAATGTTCCCAGTTTCAAGCATGCTGGGCTCCTCTTTATGTAACTCATGCCTGGTTTTTTATTTCCAAAATGTGCTCTGACTGAGGAGAAACAGTTGGTTTGTAGACAGGCATTGACCTTGACAGTCTGTCCCTGGCAACCAGAGCCTCCTGGCACTGTGTGCCACCCTCCTCCCACCTCTGAGGAGGGCTTTCTGGGGTTTGGAGATGATAGGCATTAGGTTCGCCCTTGCTGTGCCAGTCCCGGAAGGTATACAATGTATGGCAGATCCAGATGAATCTTAGGCTCCCATGTGAGCATGTTGCACATTAGGACTGATGCCAGATGCTGTGCCAGGCCTGGAACCGGGCATGGTGATGCACCCCTGTAATCCCAGCACTGTGGAGGCTGAGACAGGAGAATCACTATGAGTCTGAGCTGTGTATCAAGACCCTGTATCCAAGAAAAAAAAAAAAAACCTCATGCAAGATATTAGGACATAAAAATAAGAACTAGGAAAAGCTGGATGACCTCAACGTGCAGATGAGTGGATAAAGAGACATCACTGTGTGTCAGGCACTAACTGGACTCAAGGCTCCTGGAGAGATCTTGATTTGGTGGATGTGGGGACAGAGTCAGCTGAGCAGTCCCCTCTTCTGAGGACTTTCATTAGAGTGGACCCACAGAGATGGAGACACAAGAGAGACGCAGACAACCTGATGGGGTGTGAGCAAGCTGGAGGAGCCAGAACGTGTTCATAAAGGAGCTGGCGTTGATCTGACCGTGGAGCTGGCTTTGGGAAGGCATCCAGGAGTTGGGGAGAATCTGCTCACATGTTTGAGAGATGGAGGGGAGTTCCCCTGGCTTGGAGGACTGAGAGGAAAGGGAAGCGCAAGAACTGAGGTGGGAGAAAGCTTGTTGGCCAGGGCTCTTCTCAAGGACAGTGGGTGTCTTTGAACATCCTCCTTGACCTTCAGGACTTCTGGCTCTGTAGAACCTGCCCTGGCTTTCCTGCTCTGCCCCCCTCCCGGGGCCACTGTGCTGTGCCTTGGAGATCCACAGGGCATGTCCTTTACCTCCCTGTTTGTGTCCCTCAGTGTGTGAGCTTGCTGTAGATGGGGACTTGTCGGAGTTGTTCTGACACATGCAGAGCCTTTGGAACACTTGCTGGACTGGCGAGGCAGGGGAGTGCTGCTTGTGTGCTCGAAGGGCCCAGAAATGAGAAGGTCTGAAGGGCCTGCTGAGGGTGCGCTATAAGGAGAGAAGAGGAGTGAGTGGGTGGCTGGGACCCCTGGGAGGAGTAGGAGAGCCTGGGGAGGATTTGCATCGGCACACTGGGTGCTAGGCCGGGGTTGCCCTGTCTGTTCAGAGCCATGGATCTGTGCTGTGTATGTGTATATGCATTTGTGTGTGTGCGTGTGTGTGCGTGCATGTGTGCACACCCACCCTGTCTCACACACAAAGGTTCATGGCTGCCCCCTGCACCCCTTTCCACCAGTGGACAGTATTGTTACCTCCCCTCTGGCTTTCCCACCCCACCTGGTTGCCATGGGTGCTGCGGGGACTCAGATGTGTCCCCGTGTGATCCGTGTGATATTTCATTCATACCTGCTCATAAATGTCTGCCCCCCGCCTGCTCTGTCCAGGGGTATTTTAGTGACGCCTGGAACACGTTTGACTCCCTCATCGTAATCGGCAGCATTATAGACGTGGCCCTCAGCGAAGCAGACGTGAGTATGCACCTGGTGTGGCCTGCATCCTCTCTCCTCTGTCTGCACACTCTGCTCCCTGCCCTGCAGTGGCGTCACCTGGACAAGTCACAGATCCCAATGGCACTTGGTCTGAAACTAGGCATTTCCTAGGGAAAGCTGGGGGAGAAGACCGCTTAGTGTAGAGCCTTAGCCCAAGGCCTTGCAAGTACAAATCACCTTTGAGCGCTGCTTTCTGGCAGCACTGAACCCAGGAACTGGTAGGCAGGGTAAGACAGGGAGCCTCTAATCCTTGTATTTGCGGTGTCAGAATCAAGGTCAGAGTAACGTATCTATGACATGCTTGTCTTAGGGCAGTTTTTCAAGTAGCCAAGTAGCATAATGCTAGAATGTTCCCCTTTGATAACACTGTCCTTCTCTTCTTTTTTCCTGTTGTGCTTCCTCTCCTCTGTGGCTTCTGAATGCTTGCCCTAACAGCACTATTTCACTGATGCATGGAACACTTTTGATGCCTTAATTGTTGTTGGTAGCGTCGTTGATATTGCTATAACTGAAGTGAATGTAAGTAGCAAACTTTGTGTCCTCTAATGTGATTGTTTTCATTAAGTCTGCTGTAGAAGAGATTAGAAGTCCTACCAATGACTGTACTCCCTAAAAACCCAGACACAAATTCCTTGAAAAGATGCACCATTTTTAGTCTCTCATCCCTCACCCGATGTCCATCCCTGTACCCTGAAGGAGTGGGAGACTGAATACGGAATTGCCATTTTGAAACTAGTATCTTGATCATATTAAAGTTTTAGGAGTTCAGACTTAATTGTGTGACTGTATGAACACAATCTCTCTCTAGCTGTGTGACCATCACAGGTCACCTGACTGCTCTATGCCTCAGCCTTTCTAGCTGGAGAGTGGAATTCGCACTCACAGTGATCCTGGAAAGATGTAGGAAGGAAGCCTTGACTGCTGGACCTAAGTGTGTGGCTGCTGCCACCCCTCAGGTCTCCCTCTGTATCCTGAGTCTGTCTCTGAGTCTGGCTGGTGACACTGGTGAACATCTAGGCAGTAGCCACCCCAAGATTGGGGCCCGTGGGACCAGGGGCAGAGCGGCCTAGCGTGTACCAAGGGGTCATGATGAAGGGGCTCGTGTTTCGTAGCATGGAAGGTGGAGCAAGCCACTCCACAGCCATTCTGAGAACCCCTTCCAAATGCAGAACCTAAGAAGGAAGCGTCCCTCCTACCGCTCCTCCTGCCTGCCCCATGCTTGGCCGAGGAGCTGAGGCAGGCAAAAGGGTCCCTGTCCGCTTGCCCTGGCCCCAGCCCACTGCAGCTCTCCTAGGTCTCTTCAGGGGGCAAGCAGAACATGGAGAGGGTGTGCTGTGCAGTGCTGGCTTCTGCTCTCTGCTGCCAGGCTGGCCCTGCCCTCACCCTGGTCCTCTGTCCAACTGACATCTGTGGGGCTAAGATTGTCAGGGCCATCCTGGTGCCCAGATAGCACATATCAGATGACAGTAGTGGAATGCCTTCTGGCCCCATAATAGCCAAGCTGATTGTAAAATGGGACTGGTAGTCTGGCAGTCCCGAGACACACTTGTCAGTTCCAGTCCTGCCTGACTTGTATTATGGGGCTAAGATGATAGAAATATTTGTGAAATTACTTGCTAAAAACCAAAGTGTCAGGGAGGCGCAATATTCTAGTGAGTGCAGATTTTCTACCAAACAAGTGTCATGAACTGTAAGACATTCCAGTGTCCATGAGGACATGACTTAAGGCTTGTCACATGCAAGTCCATACCACGACAAGATACTAACATGGTTTTGTACTAGGCCTATGTACACACATCCCTCCCAGCCTCCTAAGCCTAGATTTATGCAAATAACTATAAAATTGCTATTTGTGATATGTAAATGATGCTTGGTTATAACATGACCTGGTACTAATGAGGGAACAGCAGGACCCTAACTCTCCCGAGATAATGGCCAGGCATCTGCCTAAACTGATCAGCCACATACATCAAAGAATACTTATGTGGAAATCCTAGGTCACAGACAGTCTGTGACAGAAATGAAGGAACCATGGTTGTCATCCCAGCAGGTCTCCTTGGGCCACTCAGGACTTGAAGAAATGGGTAGCCAGAGGCTATAAATTCTTAGTTTTTGGGTGCCAGGATATGGCCAGGGTTTGCTGCCCCACTGCTGGCTGACAGGGTGATGCCGGTACACCCGGGCAGCACTCAGCTTCCTGGCTTTCTCACATGTGCTGAACGCTGGGCCTGCACCTCCCATGGTACCTGTCCCTTCAGCCCAGCTCACCTGGCAGTGGCCCAGTGTTGTCGTGCTTCAGCGTATGTCAGGAAGGTCCAGGTCGGTCTTGAGTTTCGCATTAGTACTGGGTATCTATACAAGGCAGGCTTGCCTGGGGCCTAGTCACAGCAGGCAGTTAGCCCTGGCATTGCATGGATCTATACAAGGCAGGCTTGCCTGGGGCCTAGTCACGGCAGCCAGTTAGCCCCGGCATTGCGTGGATCTATACAAGGCAGGCTTGCCTGGGGCCTAGTCGCGGCAGTCGCCTTGCCACATCCGCTTTCAGTCAGGAACCTTCTCCCTGCTCACCTGGACCCTGAGACCAAAGCTCCCTAGCCATGGCCTCAGGCCAGTAAATAAAGTACCACCTGCTTGTCTGCTGGGCCCAGGGACAAGGGCAGCGCTCGAGGCCACCTTTGTATTTAGTCCATCTTTCAGCACATGTCCACTGGCCACCATCATTGGTAGGCCCAGAGCGGGCTCTGAGGATACCCAAAGACTGAGCAAAGAAAGACCAGACATGCTTAGTCTCTGATGGTATAAATGCATTAGAAGGGGGCTGTTGATTCCTCCACCCTCTCCTCTCCACACACGTGGAGTTCCCCAAGAGAGCAAGCATGTCACACCCATGAAGGCCTTGTCCCTTTAGCTTCTGGGTCAGTTGAGCATGAACACCCTTTGTTCCTTGTTGGCTGGCTTTAGCTGCCATACAACCTTTTTTTTTTTTTTTTTTTTCAATGTTTAACCTGCTATGCTGTCTCCCCTCAAACTCTGTTGATCTTTCTTTTCTGTTGCCTAATTGATTTTCATGTTGGTTTTATTTTTAGAAAATTGTAGCGGCAAGTATATATAAACATATATACGGTGAAGTTGTTAAAGCAAAAGCACTTCTAGAGACTGTATACTTGTTTTGGTCTCCCACCTTTGGTTTTCACTGTTTTTCACGGGATGTGCTAAGGTTTGATTGGTCATGGCCATCTAAATTGTTTCCCATCCAGCTCATCTAGTTGGGGCCCGACCTCAGGCCTCTTTGGTCAGTCATTCTTGGCCCTGTGACTTACCAACACAGTCTTCAAGAATGAATTACTTGGCCTAGAAATGAGAAATCAAGCTTGCATTTGTTCTCTTTGCAAAAAACATAAGCAAGCGTGGCGATACATGCCTGTTGTCCCTGCACTCAGCTGGAGGCTGAGTCAGGATGAGTGCATGCGCTTGAGGCCAGCCTGGGCTATATAGTGAGACCCTGTCTCAGAAAAAGAAAACATTTTGGATGGCCTTCACACTGTCCTGCTCGCATGCTCACCCAGCCCTCTCCATCATGCTGTCCCTCTGCACCCCTGCCCTGCCTGTCCATGGTGATGGACCTAGTGGCCTGGTCCCCTCCACATTCAGTCAGAATAGCACCAAGCTGCTGAAATATTGGATGGCAACTGGTAGGCTCGCTTTTGCTCCCTCTTTTGTGCCTATTTGCTCTTGGAATGGTGGAATGACCCAGCCACTATTTCTCTGGCCCAGGGATGGCTGGCGCTGACACTTAGCTCCCAACCCTGATCTGTATTGCCCAGGAGGCCACAGATTTGTTTGGAAACCAGAACTCCCTTATTACTGCTTCTCAAAGTCAGTGAGGGCTCGCTCTCAGGACCCCAGAATTGTCCTTGCCTTGGGAGTCCCCCAGGTTAGACCCGGCCACCACAGCTTCTCTGCTTCATGACTTCAGGCCCCAACCCCATGTGCCAGCCTTTCCCCAAACCAGGCCCTAGCCTACAGCCTATGGAAGGAGCCACAGAGGCCGTCTGTTCCCAAGTCCTGAGAGCACAGTGGGATTCTCCTGATTAAAAATGGATCACCCAGTCATTTGAGGCCATTTCTGAAAAGCTAGCTAGGGCTCAAGTCCTGCCTTTATAGTGTCCCCCCGGGTGACCTGGGCTGGCCCCACAGTTGGGTACTGCATCAGCTCCCTGTGCTCCATCTCTGCCCTCCACCAGCTGCCTGCATTTCCAAGCCTCCTTCTCGCTGTGGAAGGATCATGGGGAGGGAGACTCGGCCCTTTCCCCAAGTACAGCGTGCTCATCAACTCCAGCAGGAGCCAGTGCTAAGTGTCAGCCGCTCGGCGGGGCTTTTCTAGTGGCCTCACTCTGACAAGCCCTGGAAGGTGTACAAGGCCTGCTGAGTACTGTTGGCCTTGGTATCACGAGCTCAGCAAGCCTGAAATCCTCAGCTCTAGAGGGTTTTAGTGTTACCTGAAAGCTTCCCACATGTCCGGAGCTCCAGCACATCCCAAATCAGTTAGCACAGAACCTTTGGATGGGACTGAGCATTGGACTCTGTTAGGGTCCCCGAGAAGTTTGAGCACACGACCCAGGAGGCGAGCTGCCTGGTCTCTTTGTCAGGCTCAAACATGGGCCATTTGGGCAAAGCCACCCTCAGGGTCCTTCCAGTTTGGAAGATATTTTTACAACTTGCACCGTCCCCCAAGGATGCCAGTGATCCCTGCCTCGAAGCCGTCCTCCCACCCACTGGCCTGTGGGGAAGGGGTGGTGTCACTCAGCGTGCATGCAGTGTGGTGTGCTGTTGGTTCTTCCCTCTTCTTCTTGCATGTCATGCTGCCTTGTCCCCAGCAAATGCTATCTCCTCCTCCTCTTCTTTGTTTTAACAAGAGAGTTTGAGTTTCATAGTCCATGATTTGTCATACTTCAGAGACACAGTTTTAAAAATGTACACTTCAAGAGAGTCAGTTTGGCCACTGATTTCACATGCCGGAAGGAAAGGCATCGTGCGAATAGTCAGGAGCAGGCTGGGGTGGGGTAGAAGATGGAGGCCAGAAAACGCATCTTCCCAGCCAGCAGGCCTCCTGGGCCCTTGCAGGCCCCACACGCACACAGGCGTCTCGGGGATTTCACTGTGGGAAGGTTTACCTTCTGCACTCCGGTCCCCCACCCACAGGCAGGCAGGGGCCGGCGCTTCGCAGACTCGGACACGCTCAGCTGTGTGGGCAGAGGTCAGCCTCCCGCTCTGCAGAGCGCTCAGATGGACTAATGTGGGAGACAGTGAGAACTCAGGAAACCCAGTCCCTTTGTTAGGTTTAAATGTTGAAAACCATGATCTGCCCCTTTAAAGATGGGTGATTTTTTTTTTTTTCTTTTGAAGTGGGGATAATGGCAGAGAAAAACAAAAGCAGTGACCCTGGGCTTTGATAAGCCTATGGCAGAGCAGCCTCTTGGGAGCTGGGACCCCTTTATAACTACTAGGACCTGTTCTTCTGAGTACAGAATCACACAGCTGAACTTCAGTTTTGTTCTCTGTTATGCTCAGACCCCTTTTTTTTCTATGAGTTTTACAGAATTTTCTGTTTGGTCCCAGGAGGTAGCTTTTGGTGACAGGCTTCAGCCCAGGGCCTTTCCTGTCTCAGCATCAAGCAAGCTGCAGATGCCCCTTGGCCTTGTCTTACAGACATGCCACATAGAAAATCTTTTTGGAGGCCTTTAGCCAGATGAGCCTCCTTCCTCTCTGACAGTTCCCAGGGAGGTCAGTTGCTGCCAGGGAGGTGGCAGCACTGCAGGGGAAAGAGAGGCTTTCAGGTCCTAGTTCTGGCTCATGTACTGTTTAAAGATGCCTCCTGGGGAAAGTTTGCCTCCAGGGCCTTTACGTTCTCTGAGCCATTCAGCACTCAGTAGGTGTCATTCTGGGCACTACGCAGAGTGAGGCAAGGCCCCCTGAGGATAGGTGAGCACCACTCCGTGCAGTCTGCATCCCAGGGCTGGGGCAGCACACAGCTGGCCAGACCTCGGGTCAGGCAGAAGGGCTGAGGCTCAGGGCGGGCCGGTCCCATGCCACTTCCTCCCCGCAGCCCGGCAGACCCGAGTCTCCTGAGGCCTGGGTAGCCTCAGCTGGATGTCAGGCAGTGCAGGCATGCAGGGAGCAGCCAGTCTTTCCTCCTTGCACTGGCCCGTCTACTCAGGTCTGTAGCTGCCCATCAGAGAAGGCTGGCATCACTGGGATCACTCGTGGTCCCCTGAGGTGTGGGAACTGCCCACAGGGCAACTGTTGCCCTGCAGCCGACACCCTGTCACTTGGGGTTAGGAGGATGGCCACAGAGCACTCAGCTCCTATGCCTAAGCCTAGGGGCACTGAAGCACATGCTGTGCTCACGTCTCTAGAGACAGCCGAGGGCTACGGTGCTTTTGCCGGGTGCCTATCAGCCAAGATGTTGTGTCTCTGGGTGCGGAATAGAGCAGTAACGTGTCTGTGCCCATGCCAGCCACTGCCCGCCCTCTAGCGCACTGCCAGTTAGAGCCCTGGCATTTCCTAGGGGAAGGGAGCAGGTACATTGTCCAACGATATTAAGCACACACTTTTAGAAGGGGGGAGTGTTCTCCTAAACCCCTACTTCCTTCCCACTCCATTAATACATTTTTCAATCTTTGATTTCTTAAAGCCAACTGAAAGTGACAATGTCCCTGTCCCAACTGCTACACCTGGGGTAAGATCAGCAACGAGTCCCCAGGGGCTGGGCCTTTTCCTTGAGTTTATTTGACCATGTCGAGTTTTCCACTGGTTTTTCTGTATTCTCCATGATTGTCCTTCCAGAACAGTGTCTGCAGTGGTTTGCATTCACCATCAATGTCCAGTACTCTTGACCAGCCCAGCGTTCTTCTCTAACACAGTAGAACACGTGGACTTGCATGTGCTGTGTGGACGCAGTTTTCCAAGCCCTGTGTTGTTAGCATGTAACTTTTCCTTTCATATCATGCTTTTTAAGGTGAAAAGGCCTAGACACACATCTTCAGTTTTGACCTCTGTCACCTTTGCTTCTGTTGCTGTTTTTCTGAAAGTGTTGCATGTTCTGCTTTCCGTTGGGTTTGACCTCTCCATGATAACCCTTCAGAACTCGGAAGAGAGCAATAGAATCTCCATCACCTTTTTCCGTCTTTTCCGAGTAATGCGGTTGGTGAAGCTCCTCAGCAGGGGGGAAGGCATCCGGACCTTGCTGTGGACTTTTATTAAGTCTTTCCAGGTAAGAGTCGTGCCCAGGGCTTCTCTCTTTGGCTTTGAAGGTCATGCGTAGGTCAGGGATTGTGCCCCCCAAAACTGTAAACATTTTGTAAGGTAGGTAGACAACAGGTGCCGAGGGGAGAGCCCAAAACTAACCATGTAGGACTCCCTTAAGAATTCAGGGAGGGCCGGCGAGATAGCTCAGTGGACTAGGCGCCTGGTTAGGCAAGCGCAAGGACCGGGGTTCGATTCCCAGCACCACAGGCCACATCAGACCCGCCCCTGGGCACCCTGAGCTGGCCACGGAGACTGGGCGTGGTGGTGCACTCCTGTAATCCCAGCACTGGGGAGGCTGAAAACAGGAGGATCACTACGAGTCTGAGCTGTGTTGTGAGACCCTGTACCAAATACATTAAAATAATAATAATAATAATAATAATAATAATAATAATAATAATAATAAAGAATTCAGGAATGAGCTTTCTGATGAACTTTCTCAGAGTTCAGAGAGAGAGGGGAAGCTTTAAGGACATGTGTTTGGAATTAAGCTGACACTGGGACATCCCTGGATGTGTTCTGTGATGTGAACATGCTTGTCTCAGGGAGGGCGGGCAACAAGCCACTGGGAACATTGGGTTCACGGGCTGGGGCCTGGTGAGGTGCACATTTGCCGAGAGATCCCGCAGATGGCCCATGATCCGTCCCTTCCTAGTTGCCCCTCAGCCTGTGCAGTCCTTTGAAAAGACCTACATTTTAAGAAAGGTGTTTTAAGTTGGGTGTCGCAGTGTATGCCTATAATCCCAGCACTTGGGAAGCTGAGGCGGGAGGATCGCCAGGAGTTCAAGGCCAGCCTGGGGTACATGATGAGTTCATGGCTGGCCCCGAAGTACACAGTGAGACCCTGTCTCAAAAAGAAAGAAAGAAAGAAAGAAAGAAAGAAAAGAAAAGAAAAGAAAAAGGTGTTTGCAACAGCCAGAAAGTGGTTCTTACCTCTGACTGGTAATTCTGTCCCAGAACTTCACCCTGAGGTAGTAAATTCTTCAGCCAAAGCAAGGTGATTTTGCATAAGGGTGTTTCTCTACAGTGAACATGTAGAGGATCAGCATCCAACATGGTGCCACCACATCCTGTTGTGCAGTTGCACTGGGCAGTGTGTGGATGCTCAGCACTGTAGTATGGGTGCCAGGCAGGACAAAGAGCCTCCTCACTCTCTGTGTCCCTTTCCTATAACAAGTGGGAAAGGAGAGTGTGGCTGTCACGGGGTTTCCTTCATCACTGTCGAGCTGGCACAGGGCCAGGTGTCCAGGCTGAGCCCCGTGCCCTCTCTCTTGCAGGCCCTTCCATACGTCGCCCTCCTCATTGCCATGCTGTTCTTCATCTACGCAGTCATAGGCATGCAGGTAAGCACCACCGCCTCCCCCTCGGGGACTCTCCTGCAGGATGGCCCCCAAATCTGCAGCTGGATGTGCATTCACTGAGTGAAATAGAAAGCCAAGATCATGATTCTTCAGCCATGTACCTTGGCTGCTGGAGAGATAGGGGATGAAGGTGGGGCCGTTCAGGTGGGAGTTCCCAAGGGCAGGACCTACACCAGCAGAGACCAGGCATAGGAAAACATGGAGAGTAAACCTGTGTGTCTGGGCACTCCCCTCCCCACCTCTGAACCCTGGGGCAAGACCCACAGTTGATTTTAGAAGTGGTAGGAATCAGCAGTTCAGCAGGAAAGGAAGCGCCATATTCATGGAAGCCGAGGTAGGTGTTGTGTTTCCTGCCCTGATGATCCTCAGAAATTGTAAAGCACTGACCTGTTGATAGTCTGGAGAGGTGGGAATGCTAGATGCGATGTTGGGACCCCTGGGGTACCTCGGCCACCCACTTTCTAGAGGAGCACAGGGCTAGGTTCTTCTGTGGCCTTGTCTAAGGCTTGAGAGGCTGCAGCATGCCTCCCAATCCTCTTGAGGGATGGAGCCTGTTTTGTAGCTGGGTCCTCACCCGAGCAGATAGCTAGGAGCTGATGTCGTGACCCTCCATGGTAGAGCAAGTTGGAGCTCCCCTGGTGGACTCTGCACTTGCGCAGACATGTAAGCCATAAGCCAGGGGCATGAGTGAGAAAGGCAAAGTGAATCGCAGGGCAAAGAGTTGCATGTCTTTATTTTTTATCTTGAAGGCCTAGAAGTTCTTGAAATCTTTACAGGACCTATGACACAAGAGCACCTGGGCTAATGCCCTGGTAACTGGGCAGACTGCACTGCTGCGCGTAACATACATTCTCACATTAAAAAGACATATCACAGAGCCCTTCGAACTCCACTGCCCGGCTGCATGCCTCACCCCAGGTCCTCCCAGCAGGCATCGGCCTGGCGTCAGACTTGGCTGCAGTATCACTCTGCATCCTAAGTCCCAGGAGGAGACTACTCCCTCGCCCTTCTCTGGAGTTGAAGCTCACTCTCCTTCCAGAGGCTCGTGGGCCCACCCACCGGCCCCACCCTTGTCTCCAGCCCGATTTTTCATCCATCTGCTCGATGCTCATCTTTGCACTCCCAGAACACCTGTGCTGTGCCGCCTCCGCTCCTTTGCAGGTGGCATCCCCACTGCCTGCAGCACTCCTCGCCTTCCTTGTCACCTGACTTCTCCATATGCTTCAGTTCTAGACATAGGTTGATCTTGACCCCGCTCCAGCTTCCCGCAGATGAGCCTGGTCTCTACTTCCCTATGGGTCTGGACCCCCACTGCCCATCCTGTGAGGCTGTCACTGCCTTTGTGGTCTAGCTGTAGTGTAAGGACTCCTTGAAAGTGAGGACATCGCTGCCACCATGTTGCTAGCAGTTAACCTAGAGCCTGGCACCTGGCTGTACTCAGCAGATCTTTAGGGAATGAAGTGTCACCTACCCTGAGAAAAGCCCTGGTCAGTGTTGATCATACCTGAGTTCTAAACTTCCATGAGTGGTTTTCTAGTATGAGTGTGTTAGCTTTCTGTCACTACACTAAAATGCCTGAGATAGCTCTTGAGGAGGAAAGGTTTCCTTTGACTCACGCTGTTGGAGGTTCCAGTCCATGGCTGATTGTCCCCTCTCATTTTGAGCCTAAGGCAACATAACCTGGCAGATTATGTGATAGAGTAGAACTACTCACCTCACGGCCAGGAAGCAAAAGAAAAAGAAGGACTGGGGTGCCACTGTTCCCCTGAAGGGCATATCCCTAGGGACCCAAGGACCTTCCACTCGGACCTCTTCACAGTTCTGCCACACTCCAACAGCACCACCCCAGGACCCAGCCTTTACCATGTGGACTTTAGGGGGACATTCTATATCTGGTCTGTAGCAATGACAAAGCCTGTTCTTTTTCTAATAACTTTTCCACCTAGATGTTTGGGAAAGTTGCCATGAGAGATAATAACCAGATCAATAGGAACAACAACTTCCAGACGTTTCCCCAGGCGGTGCTGCTGCTCTTCAGGTGACTGGGTCTGTGTGGGTGGTGCTCCTGGGCAGCTGCTAGCATCTTCTCCCTAGCCCTGGCCCAGGCTGACCTGGGACGTAGGTATCAAAGCCATGAGCCTCTCCCAGTTATTATGTTGTGTTTGTCTGTTTGTGTTGTAATTTCAGACTGAAACCTAGATTTGATTACAGAAAATTTTTGCTAGACTGTTAAAACTTCTAGGGTCTTCCACAATGTGGCTGGTTTGAGGTTTTTTTCATTAGGGGGTTAGTGAGGCTACTTAGACCACTAGGGAAGTTGTAGAATGAATGTTTATGCACCAAAGTGTGTACCAAAACACTACCGTGAGAAGAGAAGCCTAGCAGGAGCGTGGAGGCCTTCTGTACAGCCAGTAGGGAATATCGTAAAATTTATAGTTCCAAATTTTATGGGATTATTTTCAACCTCAGCTAAATGAGCTTTGTAAACAGGCTGGCTCATGGTGAGAGAACTACCTAGAAATTGTGAATGTAATTGCTAATGACTCCAGTGACTGGGTAACAAGTCATTTGCAGGTTAGGCAGTCTCCAGCTATTTTCTTCAAATAAAATTAAGTAGGGGTCATCATCAAAATATTATATGCATGTTTGAAGCTGTGTTTGCATCAAATGTTTGTTAAGATCAGAAAGTTCTAGGAGAACCTCAAGTCACTGAGGTAAGTTGTGTTTACAAGTTTGGATGAATTTCAGATTTTTACTATTTCAAATCAGCTTCTCCCCAGATGGCTTAGATTTCACTCTGACCTCAGAGTTTTCCTCCCAGAGACCTAATCCTTCAGCCCCTTCTTCTCTCGCTAACGCCTTGTCTCTTCTTGATTGCAAAGGTGTGCTACTGGCGAGGCCTGGCAGGAGATCATGCTGGCCTGCCTCCCGGGGAAGCTGTGTGACCCCGAGTCAGATTACAACCCCGGAGAGGAGTACACGTGCGGCAGCAACTTCGCCATCGTCTATTTCATCAGCTTCTACATGCTCTGCGCATTTCTGGTGAGCAGGCGAAGCTCGCCGTTGGGTGCACAGAGCCTGTGCAGCTCGTGGGGTTCAGGCCAAGGACAGTCCCTTTGCAGATTGCTCTGGACACTTGCTGCATGTGGGCAGTGGAGGCCTTATTTAATCAGATGTATGTCACTGCCACCTTGTCCATAAGCAGGAGCGGGAGGCTAATAGCTGGGGAAACGATAGCCACCCAGATTCATCGTGCTCCTGGTGCCTTTTTAAATTTCAAGGCCACTACACTGAACACGGCTTTAAGTGACTTAAGAGTGAGTTAGCTGGTGGCAGTGAAATTATAAGATTGCAGTGTGTTCTAGGATGCCAGCTAATGCCTCTGCCCACTCCCTCCTGAGACTATACTCAGCCACCTAGGAAAGCAAGGAGCCTGCCCTTTGCTTAGGCATTCTCCAAAAGGAATGTTTTGACAACCGCAGTTGGAGATGTGCAAGTTCAAATACCTCACATCCAGCCAGGGGGGCTGGTGCTTGTCTATGATCTCACCACTGTGGGAGGCAGGGACAGGAGGATCAGAAGTTTGAGCTCAGAGCTGTCTCTAAATAAATAAATGAAGGCCTGGGCTGGGAATATAGCATTCTATCTCCAGTACTACAAAAAGAAAAAAAAAAATCTTACATATGTGGATTAGGTAGTGTTTGACCAGTCCGTTCCACTATAGCTAAAGTTCTCTCTTTCTGATTTGCTTTTTCAGATCATCAATTTATTTGTGGCTGTTATCATGGACAATTTTGACTATCTAACCCGGGACTGGTCTATTCTAGGGCCTCATCACTTAGATGAATTCAAAAGAATATGGTCAGAATATGACCCTGAGGCAAAGTAAGTTGAGAAAGAGCCCGTCTGGCTCATGCAGAATGTTCTGGAATGTCACTTGTGATTTGATAGAAGGCGAGCTGGACTGAAGGCTCAGGCCAGCTGATGCTGTTCCTGGATTGAAGGCTCTGCTTTGTTGCTTTCAGGGGAAGGATAAAACACCTCGACGTGGTCACCCTGCTCCGACGCATCCAGCCTCCTCTGGGCTTCGGGAAATTATGCCCCCACAGAGTGGCGTGTAAGGTGAGCGTCGTGTGCCTCACAACCTCTCTAGTGAGGGCTTGTCCAGCAGACACTAAGTGGCCCTTGGGCAGGTCTTTTGGGAGGTGCTGCGGACAGAGATGAATGACGCATGGCTCCAGCCTTGTAAGACTCTCAGATATGTAAGTGAGAGTTAGGGAACCCTGGCAAGAGCACTGAAAGGAGGAAGGACCCTCTGTAGCTTGTCACTGGGTAGGGAGCGGGGAAAGTGACTTTTGAGTTGAGGCCAGAAGAGATGTAGGAGTCTCTCAGAGGCAGGAAGGACATTGCAGAAAGAGCAACCCAGCAGGCAGGTGAATAGACAACAGAGTGGCTGTTGCTAAGTCACTGTGTCACCAGCCACGTGGCCAGGGTACAAGAGGAAGTGACAGAAGGCTGCAGGTGCAAGCAGTGAGGAGTGATCTGTTCCATGCCAAGTCTCAGGCATAATAGGGAGAACTCCGGGAGAAATGTGCACTCCCGGTTTCCTTCTGGAGAGTTGATCTGATGGTGTAGAGAAGCAGACTCCCAGAGGAGGCCAGCCAGGGTCTCTAAATGAGGGCAGTGGGAGTGTGGAGAGAGAGCCTGCAGCTTGCGGACTGCTGCGGAAAGGGCAGTGTGGAAGGGGAGCCTGTTTCTGAGCCTGGGTGCTGGGGGACAGGGCTGCACAGAGCCCCCCACTGCAGAGCTTCGTGGCCCCTGCTGGGGTGCCTTTCCTGGGCTCTAGGCTTGGACGCTAATCCCCCACCTCATTTCTGGCCTCTCCACATGGGACCGTGCTCTCTAGAACTCTAGTTGAGATTTCTCTTCCTTCCATAGATCTCGCAGGAAACCTTAAGTCTGTGGTAGCAACAGAAAGAAGGAATGCAGATTATCTGTTGAAATTCTTCCAGGCAGTCCGCCCGGTCTGCGTGGCAGCTGGTCTCTGCTCCCTGTGGATCTGCAGGGATCCTGGGGCCAAGGGTCTCGCCACTCCAGGGTGATAGGCCAGCTCTAGACAGGAACGGAGGTCACAGAGCAATGTCTGTGTTGCATTTTAGCTTTCAAAGAAGTCTCCGATCTATAGTCATGCCTCCTGCCCTTAGGGTCCGGGCAGGCACATGGGCAAGTCCTCCTCAGGGGCCTGGCTTCTCATCGGGCAGAATTCTGCATGCTGGGACAGAAAATAAACCGTAGAAGCGGACAGTCTTGCTGTGAATTACCCTGTAGCAGGCCCTTTTCTGCTTTCCAAGAACAACAGCAGCGCTGTTCATGTGTTCTATTCAGGTGTTGTCTGGCCTTGGTTGTCTAGCTCCTTTTATATAAAGGTCGGAAAAGCGCTCAAGGCACAAGGTTATTCGTTTTGTCATCGGGAACTTTCCAGAAAAACAAAGAAGTCTCTGAGGTGTCCTGGCTGCCTGCACTGATTTTGGAGACAGGGAAGGCTGATAGTAGGGCTAGAAAATTAGGTGGCTTGGCCATGCAAATGCAAGATTCTGGTCCTTAAATCAGGAGGAGAAAACTTTCTTTTGGGATGGACGTAGACAACATTTTAAAGATACTTAAATTTTTTAATATTAAACATTTTACCATTTATTGAGCACGTGTGATGTGCCAGGCACAAAAGTCTTAGTGCTTATGACTTTCTCTACTTCTCAAGAGGCGCACCTGCAGGAATGCGCCGCTGGCTCTTAGGATTCTTTGCCAGGACAGCTGACCACCTCCTCCCCCCACATCCTTGCTCTAAGTCTCACTGTGTCCCAGGCAAGGTGACTGGGGCCGAGAGAGGGTACCCTGGCCCGACCCCCTCCTCCCTCCTGGCTGCTTGGTGTTGCAGGAAGGAGTGTGAGTCCTGCTGAACAAGGCCACACCCTTGGGGAAGCTCTGTCCGCCTGTGCAGCTCCTCCCTGGTGGGCAAGGCCGGGGCTAACCTTAACAGCCTCGATGGAGAACCGAAGGCCCGGGCCTTGTCTGGCCTATGCATCTGTTAATCATCCAGCCCTCCGAAGAGCTTTAAGGCTGTACCTGGAATGGAGTCTAACCCAGGATACAAGGAGAGCTAGAAAGGAGGAAAGGAAGAAAATACCCAAATGATGAGCTTCTGTTGTTTAGCACACAAAACACAGAATCCGAGTGTTAGACTTCATGCTTCACAAAACACTTTTAATCTTTGTCATCCCAGATCGCTCACAGAAGATAAACTGTTAGTCAGGAGTCTCCAGAGACAAGCAATAGGATGTATGTGTCTATCTCTCTGTGTGTCTGTCTGTCTGTCTATATATGTATAACTACATATATAGTCACACAGAGACACACATGTATATGCACGTGGATAAAGGGATTTGTTATGAGGAATGGACCCCCAGGATTATGGAGGCTGCAAAGGCCTGTTGTCTGTCTACCAACTGGAGGCTTAGGAGAGCTGGTGGTACAGTTAAGTCTGGGCCTGATTCTCAAGGCCTGACACCCAGGGAAGCCAGTGGTGTGAGTTTCGTCTGAAAGCAAGAAATACAGATGTCCCAGACAGATGTCCAAGCTCGAGCAGGCAGGCAAAAACAAAATTCAACCTCCTTCCATCCTTTGTTCTCTTGGGCCCTCCCTGATTGGATGATGGCCAGGTACTCGTACTGGATGGACTATGGTCCACCAATTCAAACACTAATCTCTACTAGGACACCCTCACCCACACACTGAAAAATGATGTTTGACTGAGTATCTAGGTGTCCCGTGGGCCCCTCTACTTAGCACACAGCAGTGACCATCATAAAGGTGCGCCCAAAGGGCTTTGGGTTGAACTGAAGGTTGACTGGAGACTGGGTGAGAATAAACCTCAGAAAGGGACGTGGGTGTCGCGAAGCATCTTTGTTCTTTCAAGGAGCTCTCCTTTCTGTTCGCAGAGGTTAGTTGCCATGAACATGCCTCTCAACAGTGATGGGACAGTCATGTTTAATGCGACCCTGTTTGCTTTGGTCCGAACAGCTCTCAAGATCAAGACTGAAGGTGAGCATTCTCTGGAGGCAGGCGGGTGGAGGGAGGAGGAGACGTGGCCTCCCGCCTCCATCTCCTCCCTGGGCTTTGTCCTGGCGAAGGGGACACCTGGGCAGGGGTGGTGGGTGCAGTGCGAATATCTTGACATATTAGATGAGAGGACAAATGTTAGCCCATTTAGGGAAGGCTAAGGTTAGGTGGCATGGACAGGACTATACAGTGGGAGTTGGAAGATTACTTGGAAGGTTAGGCTGGACCACCAAGGGCAGAGGCAAGATTGGCAACAATGAGAAAGAGAAAGCCTTCTTGGCTGGGCACAGTGGGGAGGGAGTAAGTCCTGGCTGTGGGAGGGCAGGAAAGGGTCAGAGTCCTGAATTTCAGGGTGAAACATGAACGTTCCCCCACTGGAGGGACTTCCCTTAGGATGGGCTAAGATCAGTCTTTTAATAAGCTGACTACTTGATGAATGCGGGAAGAGTCACCTTGACTGGGGACAGAACAATGGGTGCGGAGTCCCATCCGTGGGCAGTGTGCTTCTCTAGGCCAGGCCAGACAGAGGAGGTTGAGAAGCAGAAGCAAGGCTTGTTTTGCTTTTTCTTTTTTGTATTCAGGGAACCTGGAACAAGCTAATGAAGAACTTCGAGCTGTGATCAAGAAAATCTGGAAAAAAACCAGCATGAAGCTACTTGACCAAGTGGTCCCTCCTGCTGGTGGTCAGTGTAATCTGTTTCCTAATTAGTTCTTGGCTACAGTGTTGGTTTTAGTGACAGCCTGTCCAGCAAGCCTAGAGAGTGTTTGCAGAATGCATTCCACATCAGAGTTAGGCCAATAGCTGAAGGTTTATTTCAGGGTGAATGAAGACCCTTCGGGCAGAGAGGCTTCCATGGGGAGGGGACCAACACTTACACAGCCAGAGCGGGCTTTGCCTGTTGGTGGAGGAATTAATGCAGAGAATAAGATGACTGCTACAAAACAAAACCCCAATATTTTTAGTCTAAACAGAAATATTTGAAACTAGTTTCCAACTATACTTTAATATTCTGTTGGAAACTTCTCGTGAAACATGGTTTTCAGTTGCTGGGGAGATAGCTCAGCAGCCCAGCACCTTGTTGGCAAGCACAAGGTCCTGGGTTTGATGTCTTATACAAAAAAAAAAAAAAAAAAAAAATGGTTTTCAGGAAGTGGTAATTAAGAAATGTTCTTATCAAGGCTAGATTTACTACCAAGGGTGTCCTCTTAGTAAGGTAGAACTTAGAGTAGAGACAGAACTAACAAAGTATGCTTATTTTCCTTTTGTTATTTGTCACAAATTAACTGACTAAACCTTTTTGAACTTATATATATCATACATATGTGATATATATATATATATATATATATGCACACACATTGGGTTTTTTTTTTCATTTTTGTCTAAATACACATAGAGTTGATGTGGTTGTTTTCAGACTGTTTTGCTTTCGAGTTTTAAAGGTGCAGCATCTGCTACCCCCGTAGCACTGTAGCCCACCCTTCACCTGGGGACGGGAGCAGCAACCAGTGACTTCTGTAACTAGTGGAAATGTGACGGTGGCTGCTCCCACTACTTCCACGGCTGGTGCAGCTCAGGTCTGGAGAGAGCAGTGCATGAACCAGCTCTGCTCCTCGGCCCGAAGCACGCAGCACATGAGCATTCGTCTCCAAAGCGAGCCGTCCCCAGTGGGCATGGCTGCCAGCTCAACGCAGGAGAAACCGGCTCAGAAAGAGATGCTAAACAGGTGCAAAACAACACCCCCACGTAGGGAACCCTGCTCCCTACAGAGACCTGATACTGCACGTTTAAAACTCCTCTTTGGTTTCCATTCTTTCCTTTCAGCTGCACGTCCAGGTGCTCGCATGGCTTAGAGGACCTGCTTTTAAACTTGTAACAATGTGCTTGAGCTCTTTCTGCAGCCTCCATTCCTTTCAACTCTCAGTCTTTCAGAATATTCTGAAGCAATTCTGTTTCAGGGTGGTGGCATGGAATCAGAGTTGTCTCTCTTCAACTATATTCCCCTACAATGTTTTTTGAAATACAGATGCATGCTTCAGAATAGCAGGCTGTTCCTGCCCATGGAACCCCACCCAGTGCACCTGAGGACCCCCTGCTCTCTACTGGCTCTGGTCTCTCTCAAGCCGCGCCCTCTCCTGGCCAGTCTCACTCCCACATGAGTTCCCATCGTACAGTGCACTACTGTGAAACTTCCTATCTTCTCATCTTACTGGACGGAAAGCCCAGAAGTTGACTCAATATATAAACACCTTTCTTTGGAAGCTTTTAGCTCTACCAAACCTCTCACACAGGCTGAATATTCTCCCCCTTTCTTGAACCAAAGTGGGACTTGGCCTTTCTCTCTGTCTCTTAACATGGATCGGGTTTAGGATGGTAAAGGTTAATCTGTCCCAGGGTGGCTGCAAGGACTGTGGAACCTGCGAAGGTTTGGGGTCTCAGAAGAGGAAAGTCTCCAAGCTCAGCAGACAGTGTTTGTTCAGTGGGAGGGTAGCGCTTCTCCAGGCGGAATCTCCAGCAAATGCTGCTGCTCCTAATGATGAACAAGGCAGCGACATTCAGACTGAGTGGGCAGTTACAGGTAGGGTTTTGTTATCTGTACCGATCATCCATCTCTTTGTTTTTCCTGTTTTATCTTTCAGTAGACCAGTATTCTCAATCTTCCCTGCATCACTGGCATACCTAGGAAATGATGACATTCCTTATACATCTCTCTGGGAAAGAGGATGGGGGGCCCCAGAGGCTGAGGGCTTCAGTGCCCCACAGCCTGGCCAAGGAGCAGCAGAAGGAACAGGGCCAGCCAGGACTGGCAGGTACAGGGTACTCAGGAAGCCCCCGTGGCCCTGAGGCAGAACAGAAGGGGGTGTTTGTCTCAGGAGACTTGGCTGATGGTGCTGTACCAGGAGGTGTCACGAGGCATCAGGAGCTGGGTGAAAAAAGGGATCTTGGTGGCAAAGCATGTGCTAGGAACAGCTTATGGCTATAAGGAGCGGCCTGACACTGCCCTTGTCTCACGTCCCTTTCCTCTCAGAAAGCTCCCTCTCCTGAAAGACCTTCCCGCCTTGCGGTTGTCATCCTTGGGCTGAGTCTCTGGCTCCTTAGCCCTGAAGAACACAGAGCTGACCCCATCGCTCTCCAGCCCTGAGCACAGATGGCTCCACCACACTCATTCCCCTTCTTCTTTCCTTTCCTGTCCTGCTGGAGCTTTGGCTTTTCTTGTCCTCAGTCTTCCAGTTACCTCAGCTTCTCAGTGGAGACAACTGGCCCTTGAATCCTGCCCTGCAGAGCTTTGGGTGGGCCTGGTTCTGTTCTAGAGGCTGAGGAAAGGTGAAAGTTAGGCCTACATTTGCTCAAAGCATCCTGGGATGCAAGAAGGTGGGCCTTCTACAGATAGAGTGGGTGCTTTTTCCGGGGGACCCACAGGGTAGCCTGACATGGTGGTGGAGACTCTCCCTGGGCCCCTGGATGTACTCACCAGATAGTAGCTGGCCTGATTCCTGTGGGTAGCTCAGGGATGACTGTGTCAGCCCCAGAGAAGCCAGTGCCAGTGTGGCTGGGGCTACATTGCCATTAGGGAGGTAGTACGGATAAGGGGAGGACCTGGGCTCTGTGAGACATAGTGACCTGGCTCGGCCAACCTGGGCAAGTCACTTAAGGAGATGTGCAGAGAAGCTGTGTCAGAGTTGTGGAGGGACCATGAGGCCCATGTGGACGCCTGTAATCATGAGGACTAGCTACAGCTGACAATCCTTATGTACCCTGGGCCAAATGGGCAGAGGCTGGAGAGCTGATCATGGGGTGGAGGAGATTTTCCCTGCTGTGGACAGGTTAGACAAGCCTAAGACCGATCAGGGCCATGTTTTTTACATGTGACGCAGAGCCTTTGGTCGATACTGGTAGGCTCTGTACCACTGCGGGACTTTCCTAGTTTAAAAGGGAAGCTAAGCCAAGCTCATCTGGGCTGATAAATAACATAATAAAATAACAGGATCTCTGTTGGTTGTGGTCATGCAGGGCTTGGCCCTGAGGACAGCTCGATCTGGGGGCTGAGTGCTTTCATGGCATCTCTCACATCATTGACACAGGTCCCCTAAGAGATCGTCCTCACTTTACAGATGAGAGTGCAAGCACAGGTTGGTTGAATCACTTGCCCTGTTCAGCATCTTTACGGGGGCAGTGTGGCCAGAAGCCTGCAAATCTGCAGCCCCTGCAAGTTGAGTTCCGTGGCCTTTGACCCCTGGTTGTCAGGGTGCCCTTGAGCTTTCCTCCTGGGAGACTGCAGCACCTCGTGGGTCTGTTGCCATGCACCTCTGGGATCCTGGGGAGTACACTCACATCTCAAAGACGGTTCACCATGGGACAGCCAGAGCCTCTATTCTGCCTCATGCATCGCCTCTACAGTTGTCAGCAGAGTTCTGATTCCCCAGGAATCCCTGTTGGAGGTTGTTCCTGAACAAAGCAGAAATAAGCCCAGCTCAACTCTGCAGTTAGTTGGAGCCGTCACTGCAGTGCAGAAAGCCACTAATTGGCCTGACAAGCTCATTGGCAGAGATAGGGAAAATGTGTGAAAAATCTGGATCTGCAGTCACTTTTCTGAACTTTCCTTTCCTTCTGAGCTTTTATGTCACCTTTGTAGGTATCTAGAGAAATAGGGATTTGGATGTTTAATTGTCCTTAATATTCATGGTAATTACACATGCAAATCTCTATGCACAAGGATGAAAACATGACCCATGAAACGTTTTTCTTTTTAATTTTTTTTTATTTTAAGTAAATAACCAAATAACATTCCATAGTGTTACTAATATGCTGCTCTACATAGGACACACATATGTCACTTTCTGCAATGCCGAGTATCAGTTCATTTGACTGACTCTAACTTTGAGCTTGCGAAGCCTTGCTTTTCATTAGCCAAGCGACCTGAGGCATAGTCGGCGCGCCCGGTGCCATTCGCCCGCACCGCGAGCTCCGCCCCAACTCCACCCCAGCCCTGCCCCAGCCAGAAGCAAGTGTTTAGGCTTTCAGTCCAAATGTGCTGATCCGGGAGAGCTGTGTCTGCTCTCTCCGTTTAGATGATGAGGTAACCGTGGGGAAGTTCTATGCCACTTTCCTGATACAGGACTACTTTAGGAAATTCAAGAAACGGAAAGAACAAGGACTGGTGGGAAAGTACCCTGCGAAGAACACCACCATTGCCCTACAGGTGAATTGTTCTCTTGTTTTGTTTTCTCTTTGCACTAACAATGTTATGAACTTATTTGAAATACTAGAGAGCTGGCTATTCATGGTTGAGCAGTACCACCAGGATTTTGTTTAAACTGAGATACTACATACTCCCCCAAATGTGGACTAGCTATTTCTGGGCCACAAGGTAAGTGCTCCCCACTTTGCCTTCTCCTGTTGTGCCTTGCACCTGATGCCAAATGGCCCTAGGATGGCCAGGCCAGAGAGGAGCGAGCACGGCCCTCGCACCCCCCCAGCCTCCTCCCCAGGCAGTGTCCTCCAGGCAGGTCCCCCTCGCCGCAGCCCCGGGCTCGTGGCCTGGCTGCCCAGTGAACAGCTTTCCATCCGAACGCAAGTGCTTCGTTTTGTTTCTGTTTGTTTCTTACCCCACTGCTTGTTAGTTTCGGGTCCATTTCAGTAACATTCATCACTTCCTAGTGTGTACTGGTGTGTGTGTGCGTGTGTGGGTGTGTACGCGTGTGCGCATGCGTGTGTATGGCATGTCTCTCTCTGTGTGCTGTCTCCTGACGGCCACGAGGCCTGCTGGGCAAGTGCTGCTCTGTGGGGTCCCAGCCGGCCTCAGGGCTCCTCTCACTTCCTCCACCCAGCCCTGCCCCTGTCCTCCCAGAGGATGAGCCACAGAGGTCAGCAAGCAAGCGGGCGGAAACACACCACACTCACATCTGCTCCCTGGAGTATTTTAAGTCCATTGTGAATGAGATAAAGAAATGCTTCATCTGATTTTTTAGGCTTATGCCAAATTGCTTTTATGTCCTCGTCACATGTCTTAAATGTGACCTTGTAGGTACCTGTTAATGTGCCTCAACACAGGATAGTCCTTCACTTTTTTCCACGGAAAATGCCTGGTGGTGTTCGGTGTTCAGAGAGCTGGTAACTATGGAAGTGTTGTGATCTTGCTGTGACAGAGAATCCCTGCGAGTGACAGTGAGTGAGGAGGCGGGGTGCATGTGTGTCCGGTGGGCCAGCAGATGGCCTGCGGGACACGAGTGGCTGATGTAAGGGGAAATCTCTGTGCTGCCTGGGTGGCCACAGTGGCTAGAGGAAGACCTGTGAATGGACAGTGACTCCCACTGAAGACCATCTCTGACCTCTGTGTTCTCGCCACGTGTCCTCTCAGAAGCTCCCTGAGTCCCAGGCATAGTCAAGTAGCTTCTTGCCCTCATAGATCAGAGGGTTTACACTTTTTGTCAATCTCGTTTGTAAAACTGACAGCCTTCCCCTTGGATTTCAGTTCACAACTAGCCCTAGCCCGAAAAGATGATGTTGGCAAATTCAAACAGATTTCTTGTTTATACATTCTTGGGAGCCACATGGCCAGCCTGACCACCGGGAGAGGGAGAGATTAACATGCTGCCGAGGCGCTTCCCTCAAGCAGCCCTCTGCCCGAATGAAGAAGCTACCAGTTTCTGAGCTTGGAACTGCTTGCTCTGCTAGGGGCCTAGCTGGTGGGACTCTCTAGATGGAAAGCATACCTTTCGTCAATGACTTGCCTCACAGCTTACTGTAACGAGCCTAGCTTTGTGTCATGAGAGGCTTCATACTCCTGTGGAGGGCAGGACTGATGACCTCTTGGGTACAAAGTTACTCATACACCTCCTGACCTTCCAGGTGGCTTTTCCCAATCAGGTGGTTTTAGTGCTTGCTCTAGTGACTGTAGAATATGAGTATGTACATGGTGTTGTGATGTTTTAAAACTTGCGTAAGTAATACATGACTGAGTAATGACATTGGGTGTATGGTATTCACCAAGTCTTAAGTTAACGATTCAAATGGTGCCAACACTACGTAGGTTGTGGGTTAAAGACTGTTACGTTGTGTTGCAATAATGTCTAGGGTGTTTTTGTCCTAAACATTTTTCATTTTATTTTTTTATAGAAAGAGCTTTATTTCCATGGTGGAATTCAAGTATTTCTAGTTAGATGACATCGACACAATTTCACATGGCTCCATTGGGAGTTGAGGCAAACTCGATATAATTTACATTGAGTACACAGCCTAGAAAATTAAGTTGTGTTGAGAATCTGGACAGATAAATTCTGAAAATGCATTTGATTCTGAAACAAGCATTTAAAACAGAAAAAAAAAATTGTCTCCTTGAAGGATAATTCTAATTACATTTTTGGCTTTCTCAGTTAGGGAACTGGCTGTAAATGCAATTTGTGACTCCACATTTAATTAGCATGAGGAGACTTTCCTTTCTGTGGGATGAAATATTACATGACGATGCAGAAGTCAAGGAAGCGGGTCAGCCGCAGGAGGGACATGCTGACTGTGCAGTGAGCAGGGAAGTCCATCCCCGAGGAAGCCCCGAGGGTGGTGCGGCTTGTTGAGAAGGGGTGCCACGCAGCTCCTGTCTGACTGCTGATGGGCAGCGCAGGGTGGCATTGTAGTGTGAGCGTAGGGAGACATGCACACATATGTGCTTGTGCCGCAGAGTGCAGTCTGCCTGAACAGCTGTCGGGACTGGCCTGGGCTCTCCGCGCCCCCGTTCCATGGATGGGCTTCCAAGGGCACACAGATGTGCTACGGGTTCGAACCCCGTGGGTGCCACCTGATAGCCCTCTATTGGGACCAACTGCAGCATCACCCTCTCCACAAAGGAGGATGACTTGGGGGCTCTGCCTCCGTGGGGCGGGGGAGGAGGGAAACTTGGCATCCGGTGTCCTCTGGCCTCTGCGATCTGAATGAGTGTGCCATTTCCATCCATCGATCCATCCATCCTTATCATTAAAGCCAACCTTCTCTCCAGCCCCTCTACAGAGGGAAGCAGAGAGAAGCTGCATCGGGCCTTTTAATTTTCTCGCACTCATCCTACACACTGTAGCCCTTGAGTTTGACCCAGCATTTGCTCTTCATCCATTTTGCTGCATCCAAGTGACCTACAAGTTTCCACGAGAAGCAGGGAAATCGAGGCACACACCTGGCAGCCATGGAAACCCTCAGGCCCTTCCACCTGACACACACTACCGCACCTTCCAAATGGCGACTTCCGTGCCACTTGCAGGCACGCCTGTCTAGCCTCCCACCCCAAAGACAAGTCCCAAGTGGGGACAATTCTGTTCATTTCTCTTTCTTCCCAGTATTCAAGCATTTCATTTGTTCTGGTGGAATCCGAGGAAGACTTCCCCCGTCACGTTCTGGATGGGAGCCCACCCATCTGAATGATAGGAACAGTCCTAGAAGGACACTCTTTCTTTTTCAAAAATCCTACTTGGAAGTTGATGGTGAACAATATTTCTGGCTATGCAGAGTTAAATTCTCAGGCTGAACGATTTTACAGCCCATGCCCCAGCCAGCAGATGGATTAGGGGAGATGCGGGCAGTGAACCGGACTCCAGTGACTTCTTACCTGCAGTGTGCCTTGACGTAGGTCCCTAGGCAGGCCCAGTGCACAGAGAGAGATGACGGGATCCTCTCCGAGAGTCCGCTGGAGGAGAGTCCTATTACTCTGTCACCTTAGTTTGAAAAGTAGTGAGCTTCCTTTTTTTCCTTTTTAAAAGCATGATTTCACCTAAAGCCAGAAAAGGGCTCTCTTTACCTTTTTTCCTTTTTTTAGTCTAAGAGGAGAAGAGATGCTAACAGATGAGATTTCACCAGCTGATTCGTTTGTTTCAGATGCTTGAACGGATGCTTTAGCGCTTCCTCCCGAGCTACGGCACCCAGCTGGTTAGTCGGAGGCGCTGTGGCTAAGGCCTCGGAAGGGCAAACACTCACGCGGGCTTATTTCTACTGACGCAGCATTTCGGGAGAAATGCAGGCAAGAGCAAACCCAAGGCCCCGGGGAGACCCCTTCCAAGCAAGGCCCTCCTCTGGAGGTGGAAGCGGGGCCGTGGCTCACGCAAGGAGCCGTGGCTGCCTGTCGCGGATACTGCTCGCGCGGTGGTTCCCTGTCACAAAAGGGAGCGTGCAAGTGTTCGCTGTTTTCCCTTCCAAGCAGAGACTCAGAGAAAGGGACAGAGTGAGAGAAAGCAAAGGAAAGGGGCAGCTGCCCCACAGAGAAATGAAATGAACACAACTTCCTGATGCTGGCCAGTAACAAAAACTATATATATATTAAAAAAATAAAACGAAGGAGCAGACCTGCCTCAGGCGGGCGGCTGACTCTGCTCCAAAGTCCTGCATCCCTAGTTTGCCCGGACTCCCCAAGACCGGCAGGCCCCTTGGCGCTGAGCAACGGAGTTCCTTTTATATGCCAAACGTCATGACCTCCTCACCGCCCGGCCAGGCCCACTGCAGTGACCCAGTGCAGAATGCAGTGAGAAGTGGACAGGCCAGAAATCTCAGATACACCCATTGAAACTAACATACACCCGCATGCCCAAGCCAGTCCAGGCAACACCTCAGGTTCCATCCTAACGTGTCCACAGGAAATGCCACCATCCCCAAACCTCATCTAACATTGTTCGTCTTTAATTCGTGCTCAGAGCCAGTCTGGGATGCCTCTTTCGAAGCAGTATGGTCTAGTTTCAAGGACACCGGGGAGTCAGGGAACCTGGGTTCTAATCCCAGCTCCAGCATTCACTTGCTGTGTGACCTTGGGCAAGACACTTAACCTCTCTGTGCCTCAGTTTCCCCATCTGTAAAATGGGGGTACTAATGTCAACCTACCTCACAGGGCTGTTGTGAGGAATAGCTAAGTGATTGTAAAGCACTTTGAACGTATAATTGCTTATTATTAAGACTTCAACAATAATAATATCATATGCCTGTTTACTACCAAAACTTTAAGAAATTCTTACTTTCCTTTTATCTCTTTTTCTGTTCTGTAGAGTAGTTATCTGTTCAGAAAGAGAATTTGCCCCTTTTAAAGATCCGTAAGCAACGCACAAAGGGTGTGAGTGGAGCTAATCCAGCAGGTTGTGTTCTCATGGTGAAAGAACACCAGATGTTTGCCTGAGAAGTTGGTGGATGAGGGCACCGGAGCTCACTTCCTCGGCTGATTCCAAGTCAGGGCCAAGG